GTGGCCGGTGTCGTGGCAGGGCCGGCGGTCTGGGACGAGGTGGCATGGGAGGCTGGCGTGGTGGCCGGTGTCGTGGCAGGGCCGGCGGTCTGGGATGAGGTGGCAGGGTGGGTTGGCGTGGCGGCCGGTGTCGTGGCAGGGCCGGCGGTCTGGGACGAGGTGGCAGGGTGGATTGATGTGGTGACTTGTGTTGTGGCAGAGCTGGCGGCCGGGGACGAGGTGGCCGTGGGGGCTGGCGTGGTGGCCGGTGTCATGGCAGGGCCGGCGGTCTGGGACGAGGTGGCAGGGTGGATTGATGTGGTGACTTGTGTTGTGGCAGGGCTGACAGCCGGGGACAAGGTGGCATGGGAGACTGGCATGGTGGTCACAGTTGAGGCAGGGCTGCTGGCTGTGGTCACAGAACTTGTCTCAGTGGAGCTGGACCTTGTGTTGATCCGGCGAGTCGAAGTCTGTGTACTTCCACTGAGGGTTGTGGAGCTAGAGGCGTCCACAGCTGTAACAAGTTGAGGTTACAGGGTTGTGTTCCAGAGCAAATCAGAACAAGGAGAAAATGCATCATCTGGCATCCCGAGAAGTAATGCCAAGAAGATTCGGCGAGTGGGTCCCTGAGTCCGCCCTCCCCCCTCGTTCCCGGTGGGCAGCCTCCCTCTCTTCTCACACCCCTCTGCTCCTGGTTTGGCCACTCTCCACTCCTAAGATTGACCTCTCCTGACACTCCCACCCCCACCCCCGCCCCGCTCTTCAGGAAATTCGCCTGCCTCTGGCGCCCACTCTCCTGGGGGGCCGCCTCTTCTCAGCCTGTCCATAGCCTCTCTCCTTTGTTCTGATACAGACTAGGCCACCTGTCTGCAACTTCTGCCTATTGGGGTGCCATCTGCCAGGAAACAAAACCCACAGAAAGGCTGGAAAGACCACACGAACAGAGCAGCCCCTCCCCACCTTATGCCTCTCACCTGTAAGCACTGGCACTAGAAGCAGCAGGAGAAAGAACCGGGCCTGGATGCCCGGGGTCATGGTGGCTGGCGGCGAGCAGGGTGAGGAGGGGGCAGAGCAGAATCAGGTAGGCGCCGCGTGTGAAGTGGCGCGCACAGGCTCCTGCTGCTTTATACTGGTCCCCCCTCCCGCCCTAGGCTCAGCCTGAGCAGGTGACAGGTGACAAAACCCCGCCCCCTCCCCCATTCCCTACCTCCTATCTCTTCCTCCTCCTCCCCAGCCATTCCTGTCCCCTCAGGTACGCTACTCCTCCAATCGCTCAACCCTCTGACAACTTGTTTGTTCTTCAATTGGCCTCCCCCTTTTCACCAACCACTCCCCAGCTCCAGAGGGTGGTGTGTGTGGGGGGGTAGAGTGGGGGAGTCTGGGACCTGGGTCCCAGTTTTAGCCCCAAGGCAACAGCCAAGGTGAGAAAAGGAACAAGAGAAAGTGGGCTAGGTCAAGGCGGGAAGTTCCCGCTCAGGTTCCCTACTCCACTTCCCCATTCTCCCCGGGCCCCTTGAAGCCCCACGCTGGGGGCTGAGAAGAAACCGGAAGGCCGGATAAAATGCGGATCAGGTGCTAGTTTTGGACCCCCTCCCCCCACTTCCCGGAATAGCCGCACCCTGCTAACCGCTCCCGGTCCCGCTCTGCACGCAGTTCTACCCCGAAACCCACAGTCCCCGCCCCGGCTGCACTTTTCAGCAGCTGAGTTCCTTCCTTGGCTTTCTCCCGAGTAGGGGGCGGGGAAATACATGTCCACTTAAAGGAGGGCCCACACCTGGGCTCCGCCGAACCCTAGGGTCTTTCCTTCGCGGTCCTCCACCTGGTAGCGGCCGGCGGCCGGCAGGGCGGGCCGTGCTCTCCTGCCCTCTAGTGGCCACCGGGAGCCTCGCAGCGCCTGCCCCGGCGGGCTGGAGGGTCGCCCCGGTCGAGGAAGAGGATGTTGGGCGGCGTAGCCTAAGTGGGAAGAGAGAGAGAGGCTGGGGAGGGCAGCGCCCCGGAGAGAAGCGTCAGTGGTCTGGACAGAGACGGGGAGGAACGCACTGCGCCTTCGTGGAGAGGGTAGGAGCTTGAGGACTCGGGCTCGCGGGGCGGTGTCTGGAGGAAATGGCGCTAAGTGGGTGGGGTCCTGAGGTACGGGGAAAGGTCACCGAGTAAGTGAGAGAGGACATCGGAATGTGCGAGGGAATGTGGGAGGGGGAATGGGGCAGTTTCCGTGTTAGGAGACTGAGAGTAGGTAGGGCGATAGAATGGTGTTTGGGGGGCACTGAACTATCCTTTGGGGAGCAGAGTGGTATTTGGGGCAGGTAGGCATATGGTGGTTGGGGGAGGGCAAAACTGTATGTGAGGGTGTTTAATTTTGGAGGACCGAGAGGTATTTTGAAGTGCAGGAATATTTGGGGCCAGGGAGGTATTTGGGGGTCACAGCAAGTGGAGCTTAAGGGTATCAGGCCCGATCCGGAGGTCCTGGGTCGCGGTCTCGGCCGACGCAAGCAATACGACGTTAGGAAAACAAGTCTTAGCCCCAAGAATACAGATCGAAAAATGAACTTTAAAAACACTTCGGGGCGGCGGGAGCAGAGGGAAGCCGGCGCCGAGGCGACGGACCACCGATCCGGGGCGCGCAGCTCCGCCTTGCTGGCTAAGCGTTGTCGGGCGCGGGGTGGGGGGCATTGACGTCAGCGCCCCGGCGCGCGGGCCGGAAAGGCGGGGAAGCCCCCTACCCTCCTGCCGGAGAACCAGTGAGTCTCTAGGTGGGCGGCCCCAAAACTTCAGCCCCCGGTGTTGCCAGGCAACAGCCATTCAGTTCGGTTGCTGGGACACGCGTTACCATGGCGACGGCTCCGCGCCGCGCAGTCCGAGTATTTAAAGAGCAAGCGCGCGCAAAGCTCGGGCGTCGGGAAGTGGCCTTCCGGGATACTGCGATCGTCCCTTCTCCCTTCCCTCTTCCCCTTCCCGTCCCCCCCCCCTCTTCCCGGGGCCAAGTCTCTCTGGCTTCTGAAGTGACCCCAACTCCCCAGCGCGCCCCCGGACCTTGGGCTGGTCCAGCTTCCAGCGGTGGGGAGCGGGATCCCGGGCCCCGGGCGGGCGGGAGGGACGGGACGCGGTGCAGTGTTGTTCTTTCCCCCGCCAATATTGCACTCGTCCCGGCCTCCGGCCCCCCCGGCCCCCCGGCCTCCCCCTCACCCGGAGCGGGGCAGCCCCAGCCCTCCTGGCTCTCCATCACGGCAGATCTAAGATAGACTGGAATGTCGCCGCTGCCACCGTGGGTAAGTGGAACTGGGAGGACTTGAGCCATCCTCCCGAGCAGCACCTCATCCTTCACCGAACCCTCCATCCTTCACCTAACCCCCACCCGCCACCTTGCTCACGTGCCCCCAAATCAACCAAACTTCCTCTAGACCTCTAATTTCCATCCTACCAGCCCTGCTCTTAGCCCCCTCAGCTTCCTTCTTGCGCCCACACTGTCCCCGAAAATCCCTAAAATAAGCAATTGCACTGGCTTAGAAAACTGGAGCTTTATGGCAATGTGCTGTTATCTTTCCTGGGGTTAGCGCCTGAGAAACACCCCTTGAAAACTTCCCATCTCAACAGTGGGGTCACCACCCCTCCGGGGCTGAACTGGTGGGTGCCAGAGGAGGGTCTGTGTTTGGCTGAGGGGCTGTAGATTAGACCCTGGGGCCTCCAGGTAGGACCCCAAGGCCAAAGGGTCTAAAATCAGGATTCTGAATCTGGTAGCCACCTCTTCATACTCTTCCGTGGAGCAGCTGCCTCCGGAATGGCTCAAAGTCCTCGGGCACTGTGTCTGAGGAAGGGAGAGCCGTAAGGTCAGATGGGACGCCCACAAGGGCAGGAGAGGTCAGGGGGCCCGGGTGCAGAGCCTCACCGTTGCATCGGTACTGGAGATTGGACCAAATGATGTTTTCTTGGGAGAAGCAGAAGACACCAAGACGCCCCCCTCGCATGGATGTGTCAATGATCACCCCGGAATCTGCCACTAGCTGGGGACCCTCATAGAGCTTCACTCTGTCCAGAATAGTGGTTTCCATTGGTGCTAGGGTGCCGGTGGGCACTGTGCCGCTATGCCAGGGCCCTGCTAATCCCTAGCCCCCCTCGGCTCCTCGGGCCTGAGAGAGAAGGGAGGGAGGGAAAGGGAGGGAAGGGGGTGCTTTTCTCAGGCTTGGGGCCCCTGGCTCTTTGTCCAGTCCCTTTGCATCTCAAAGCACCAGCCGCATTCCAAGCGAGGATTGGGTTGCCATGACGATGAGCACAATGGGCTGGGGGGTGAAGTCACCCGCTTCCCAGGCTCTAGTCCACCCCCCAGCCCCAGGCACCTTAAAGGGGAATCAACCCAAGTGCCTGGACTCTGGGCTCTTAGCCATTTCCCCTCCCTTCCCTGTTATCCCCACCAACTAGGAAATGCAAAGTTGTGGGCAAAATGATGAGCCGAGAGGCCTCAGCGGTGCTGCCAAGAGCTGTGACATCTGGGACTTGATTTGTGCTTCTATAAATGACGGTCGCTTCCAGGTCAGACACCTTGAGGAGGCAGGTTCTGGGCTGTTTGAGCGAAGGGGCTGGATGTCACGGGCCTCTCCACAGACTGGCCTGGGCTTCGGAGGCTCGAGAGGCGCCCTCCCGTTTTACAGAGGGGAAAACGGAGCACAGAAAAGGAAGGACTCCCCCAGCTTTGCCCGTGTGTCCTCTGCACCACAGCCCAGGCCACCTGATGCTAGCAGGAAAGCAGGGCTGAGGCGGCGTGTCTGGTGAGCGGGGAGATGGAGAGAAGTGGTCCCAGTTGGGGCCCATGGCACCAAGGCACTGAGTAGAGGGGTCACTGGTGAGTCCCTCCTGGGGTCCCTCAGGAGGGCTCAGCCCCTCCCCTCACCGAATGTAGCCAACTTGAGGCCGGTGCAGCAGCTGCCAGCGGTAGGAGGTCTTGTCACGCCAGCCCACGTTTCGTGGGTCAGTCCACAGCAGTCGTACCTGATCAGGGGTGTGGCCAGTATGCCACAGGGCATTCCGGAGGTGCTCGCCTGGGCCAGACACTGATGTCACTGCCTGGGGGACATTGGCAAAGGCGGTGCCGGTCAACCACAGGACCCATAGGAGGGGAGACAACAGGTCGGTAAGTGCAGGTGGGCAGGGAAGTCAAGGTGATCAGGAGAACGTTCTAGAGCCCTAGGGAGCCAACCTCCGGGCCTGACGCCTGAGTGAGAGGGTTCCTGCTCAAGCAGGGGGAGAGGTTTGGGAAAGGGCCCTGCACTGGGGAATGTGGGCAGCTGTGGGACCTTGAGCTGCAGCCCGGGCTGGGCGACAGCCCGGAAAGGTGTGGCCTGCCAGTAGGTCTGCTCCGTCTGTTTCCACATGACCACGTAGAAACGGCCGCTGTCCTGGTAGCTGAAGAGGAAGCCTGCGTAGTCGTCATCGGTCACTGTGTTCACGTGGAAGGTGCCTTCAAAGTCCACACCGTTGAAGGCTGTATATCCTGGAGGGGAGGGGGGTCACGGTCAGAGGCGGCAAAGCCACCGGTGGTCCATTGTGCAGTGCGGGTGGGAAGGATGCCTGCTGGGTGTGTGTGGCCAGCTTGCCCCCCACCCTCTGGCCCTGTCAGAGTCCTCTGTTTGGAAATTATTGAACTGGGTGTCCCTTACATACCAACTGCCAGGCCGGGGTCACTGTTCATGGTCTGAACGATTTCCATGCCCTGGTGGTGGGCAGTAAAAAGAAAAGCCCTAGTCCAGGTGCGCTACCCACCGAGGCTCCACCTGGGAGTCTGGGGTGACAGCACCCGCCCAGCCCACTGCCCTGGTACCTGGTTGAGCACCACCCAGTTTGGGTCGATCTGAGCATCCCCCTCGGGATCCAGGACGACCGTCTGATAGGCCCGAAAATCCGTGAGGGTCACCTCCGCGCTTTCAGGGCACACGTCCAGGGGGTCGTCCACCGCATCGTTGTCAAAGTCATCCTCACACACGTCACCAACGCCATTGCCTGGGCAGAGTGAGGCTGGGCGCTCAGGAAGGCCCTGGCCACTGCTGCCGGCCACCTGTAGGGGACTTCCGGTCCTCTCCACCCCCCCTGCCCCTCCTCACCCCCAGTAAGGCCTGCCGTGTCTCCCTGAGCAGAGCCCACATCAGTCCAGTCTTCTGTGGGGCCCCAGCCTTACCGTCTGAGTCCTTCTGATTGGGATTGGGGACCAGGCGACAGTTATCAGGACCAGGAGGCACATAATCTGGGACACCATCATTGTCATCATCCCCATCACACTCGTCTCCAAGTCCATCGTTGTCTGAGTCCAACTGGGAGCTGTTGGGGAGCTGTGGGCAGTTGTCCTTGGTGTCCTGATGTCCATCCCCATCGCTGCCCAGAAGAATAGGCACCAAATAAGGCTTGAAAGGTACCACGTTCTTGGTCTCTGCTTAGGGGTCTCTGAGGTCTACCCTCCATTCAGCCTGACCCCTTGCGGTCAGCCAGATGAGACGAAGGCCCCGCAGTAGGAACGGAGGGCAGGCTATGGAAATGACTTCCTGCTCAACAGTAGTGGGGAAGGAAGGCTAAGCCACAGTGAGCTGAGACTAGACTTAGAGGGAAGTCAAGAATCCCTGTACGACCTGTCTTGGCTAAGACCCTACCTGTCTTCATTGGTGTCACAGACGTCCCCCACCAGGTCGCTGTCTGCATCTGTCTGAGAGAGAGGGGCCTGCTGTCACCCTCTCGATAACCAAAGAGGGTGACCTGACCACTTCCCGCTGCCCATCCGTCCCCCACCCCTCCCTTGCCCTCTCCATATTCCCCTGTACCTGGGTAGGATTGCTCATTTCAGGGCAGCTGTCACAGGCATCTCCCACCCCATCTTCATCCCTGTCTGTCTGTAGGGGGTTGGGGACTTTAGGGCAATTGTCCAGTCCATTGGGGATGCCTAGAAGACACGGGAGTAGTAAAAGGTTGTCACGCTCTCTCCTAGGTTTGTAAAAGCCCCAAGCTTCGTCTTCTATCCAGAGGATAGCTGTTCAGGAAATCCGCCGGGGCTTTGTCTTGCTGCTTTGCCCGCACCCCGCCTCACGTTCCCACTGACTTCTGCTGCAGGTAATCTCTCACCCAGGCTGACTCCCCTGCACCCTAGTTCTCAGGCTCCCTAGCTCCCCCGCTAAATTCCTACTGGATCCAAATTCTCCCAGGTCTCCCGGCCACCCCCTCAGCCCAGGCCTGCACCGTCCCCATCCACGTCGTTGTCACAGGCATCCCCTTCCCCGTTGCCATCTGTGTCCTTCTGGTCATTGTTGGGAACGTTGGGGCAGTTGTCACAAGCGTCACCAAATGAATCTGTGTCTGAATTTTGCTGGTCCTTGTTGGGGAACAGCCGGCAGTTGTCCTGGTGTGGGAGGGAGGGAAAGAGTGAGGCCGCCCTTGAAGTGCTGGCTACCTGGCACCCACCTTGTCTGCCATCACCAGCCCTGTGACGGCCCATCCGCTTGGCACAGCCCACCCACCCAGCATCCAGTAGCCCGCTTTGCCCCGGCCGGCGGGCGGGCGGATGCCTCCCTGATCGGGAGCGCTGGGGCCCTTCCTGGGGAGCTGCGGGAGACTGGGGGAAGGGGTGAAGACTGGGAGGGGCGGAGCGCAGGGGCTGGGAGGGGCGGAGCGCAGGGACTGGGAGGGGCGGAGCGCAGGGGCTGGGGTGCCGGGACGCCTGGGAGCCACCTCGACATTCTTGATCCCGTCCCCGTCAGCGTCGTCATCACACTGGTCCCCCACACCGTCATTATCAGCATCTTCCTGCCCAGAGTTTGGTGTCAAAAGGCAGTTGTCCTAAAGGTCAGTTGGCAGAATGAGTTGGGGCGTGCGTGGCTGGAGCGCCAGCCCTGCCCCCGTGCCCACCTGCCCCGGTGCCCTCCTGCCATCTGCACCTGTTTGCAGTGCTTGTTGTTGTCCATGCAGGGCAGCGCCTGGTCCGGGTAGCCGTCGATGTCTGTGTCGGGCCCACACACGTTCCCGTTCCCAGCCCAGCCCACGTTACACTGGGGCGACACGAAGGGTGGCAGTTAGAGCGCTGGGCTGGCTCCCATCCCAGCCGTTCCCCTGCTTCAGGCTCTATTCTCACCAACCTGTTCCTGGGCCCAGGCCCCGCTCCCTTCCCCATGAAGGGCCCCACCCCAATCCCCAGACAAGTGCACTAGCCCTCCCCCGCTCCCCCACCTTCTCCCTTTTCCTTCCAAGCCCCAGGCCCAGCTCACCGAGCAGGACACTGCACCGTTGCGTTCAAAGAGACAGTGCGCGTGGATGTGGCAGGGGCTGTGGGCTGGGCTGTGGCAGGTCCGGGCTGGGAGGCAGCCCTGGCTCTGGTTGCCCAGGAAGCCCAGGCGACAGGGACCACACTTGAAAGAGCCCTGAGTGTAGGGACGCAGTGTCTCAGGAGCAGGGTCAGCCTGCCCGGGGCCCCTACCCAGTGTAGGATGGGCACTTGGCTACATGCCAGGAACATATCAACGGGCTGTTATCTGTCAGCCGTCTCCTTCAAGGTTCCGGCAGCCCTTCAAAGTAGATAATGGCCCCACTTTTCAAGTGAGGATTCCGAGGCTCAGAACAGCTAAATGACTCGCTGAAGGTCCCAGCTAGCCAGGGGCAGAACCAGAACCCCAGACCAGGTCCGTGTGAAACACCTACTATGTGCGGTGCGCTGGGGGAGGAGGAGGGGACGCAGGGAGTTTGAACAGGGGGCTGCACGCTCCCAGCACCCCCCCCCAACACTCAGGTATGCAGCTCACCGCCGTATTGGTGCAGATGGAGTTTGGGTCGCAGCCACCGTTGTTCCCATCGTTGCATTCATCGATATCATTGCAGACCTGGAGGGGCAGACTTTAGGTAGAGCTAGACCGGTGCTGGGCCTCCTCAGGTACAGGAGAGGGCACTGGGGTGGCCCCATCTGTGAATGTCGACATGAAGCCCAGACCCCAAACCAATGCAAAGCCAATGACCCAGTCGCGCCACTCATCCCGTTATCACCAGGGCCCCGTGGCCAACCCAGAAGCCCCTGCACGGCCGAGCTCGCTCGTCCACGCTCTACCCAACTCGACCTGTTTGCTGGCCCGGGCGTAGTCGATGCCGACACCAGACACCCGCGTGCCTTTGTAGCCTCGAGGACAGGCCTCGCAGTGGAAGCCAGGCATGGTGTTGATGCAGTTGGAGCCCGTGAAGCAGGGGTCGGCGTGAGCACACTGGGGACCAGCGCAGGAGTCAGGCCCTGCCCGTGGTCCTAGGACCTCCGGCACTGCAGGCTCAGGGCCCCACCCCCAGCCTCCTCCTGACGTCCATCCTGGCTAGCAGCTCGCTCTGCCCCAGCGCCATCCCTGTGACCTTTCCTTCATCTTTGTCCCAGGGGCCCTGTCTCCCTGCCTCCTCACACTTCATTTTTGGTCTCCAGCCTCTCCTGAACCCCAGGTTCCTCTACTTCAGACCAACGTTCACCCCGCCTTCTTGGGCCCCTCCTAACCATCGCCCCCCCCAGCTTTCTGTGCCCCTCCCTCACCTCATTGATGTCGGTGCAGTGGGTGCCGTTGCCCTGCAGGCCAGGGGGGCAGGGCCCACAGCGGTAGCCCGGGTACTCGTACACTTCCATGCAGTCCACGCCTCGGAAGCAGGGGTTGGGGCTGCAGTGGGAACGCTGCTCGTGGAAGCCTGGGGGATGGCACAGTCAGAGCCACCAAGAGGTCACCATTCAAATCACCGGAAGTGGACGCCAAAGCCATGGGGGGGGGGAAGCACAGCGATGCCACCTGGAGCCCTCCCCTACGCTCCCACTCACCGCACACCTGACACTCCATAATGGTGTTTCGGATCAGGGACATTTCCTTCACCTGGCGGGTGGACAGGAGGACAGGGAGGAGTCGGCTCTCGGCCTCTGCCACCCCACGCAGCCCAGTGCCGCCCTTCGCTAGCTCCCCCACTCTAACCTGGTCTCGGATATCATCCCGTAGCTCCACCAGGATCTGGTTGAACAGGGTGAGTTGGGTGACCAGCGCCTTGGTCTGCTCCCCTGTCAGGGCCCAGGGTGTGGAGAGGCTTAGAGCTGGGACACCAGCCCTGGTCCCTCTTTGGGTAATAAGCCAGCTGCTGCCACTGCTGCCCACTCCCCACCACCTTTAAACTCCGCCTTCCCCGCCATTCCTGGCTGAAGAGGACTTAGTTTCAGGCAGCGGCCAAAGCCTGGGACCTCCTCCCCAGCCTCACGCCCCTCCCACCTCATGTGGGCTGCTCACCTAGGATGGAGTGGAGTGCGGTGGTCACTATGGAGGAGAAGAAAACAGTCAGAGGGTGGAGATGTCAAGAGGGGCCTGGCTGGTGAAGAGGAAGGAAAAGGGACAGGAACAAAGGGCTGGAGCCTTGGAATAAAGATGGGGTGTTGGATGGTAGGAGGACAGAAGTGATAGACAAGCGGCACTAGCTCTTTCCACAGGGTGAGGGACCCTCTAAGGGAGTTGCCTCAGACAGTGACAACCCAACCCTGGTTACCAGGCATGGCAGTGGCAGAAGGGACCCGGGTGAGGCGACCCAGAGCAGGGCCCGGGCCCCAGTATATCCCACTTCATCCCTCCTGGGCTTCTACCTCAAGAGCTCTTTCTTTGAGCCATCGGGGAGAAGTAGGCATCTTATTTAGGTAAGAGCCTCTGAACACCCCGGTCAGAGACCAGGCGGATGGGCAGTGCTCAGAGAAACTGCTGGTAGGTGACAGCCACCAGTGGGAGCTAAAAAAAACCCCAAGACCTTTATCTCAGTCAGAGCCCAGACCAAGCAGTGAACTTCCTCACCCCACTGAGTTCTCCAGACTTCTAGTCTTCCCGTCTTGTTTTTCTGGCCACCCTGGTAAGCGGGGTGCTTTTTCTGACCCCCACCTCTAGGGTGGCTGCATTCTCTAGAGATCATAGAGTCAGAGGTGAAGGAGATTTGGGGAAATGGGGTCAGAGCCCCAGGAATAGGGAACCAAAAAGGAATGAGTGTGAAGGGGGGAGGTCGAGGATGTGACCTGGGGTCCAGGATGTCAGCTAACAGAAGTCTCTGTTACCTGCACTGTGGATGGACTCGTCCCCCTGGAACGGACACTCACTCAGGGCCCCAACCCGGGCCATGGAGCCGCCCAGAATCATTTTCATGGATTCCACGAAGCCCTGGGGGTGGGGGTGGGAGGACCTACCAGCTGCCCCGCCCACTGGTGCAGACTCATTTCCACAGACACTCCAGGGTCGTCCTTGCTCACCTGCATCCTCAAATAAGCCTTCTGTCCAGTCCTAATCTCCAGCCCCTCAACCTCCGCTGGAGGAATAGGGGCCAGTGCCGGAAGGCCAGCGTGCTGGTCGCCCAGTTTACAGTCCACATAGAGCTGCAGGGCAGGGCTGGGGCGGGACGGGCCTCGGAGTCGCAGGAGCGCCGTGTGCGTGCGCCCGTCGGCCAGGCCTGCTTGCTGTAGGTTCACTGCGTGGACCTTGCCATCCTCCCGCTGGTACCGCACCAGCACTGCCCAGGAGGGGACGTCAGTATGGGTCCCAGCCCCCATCCCGTCTCCCAGTTGGCCTTGGGTTAGCGCTTGTGGAAGCTACATGCTTAGGGCTGTGACCCTTTACTCGGCTATGTATCGCTCGACGCCTTGTACCTGGTAGGTACACAATACGTGGTTTTAAAATCGGTTTAAAGACTAGGACTTTCTCGGTCTTCAGTGGCATCAGGTCACTCTATCCCCTGCCAAGTGCCAGCTGGTTCTATACCCACGGAGCTGCCCCAGGGATGTGAGGGCCCTCTCCATACCCCTGCATAGCTTCGTGACCCCACCCAGGCATCCCCGAGTACAACTACTCATCCCTACAAATACCAGGCCTCACCCTATTGTTTGGGTATCTGGCCTCCTAAGGCACCTCCTAAACACCCCATCCCAGATGCCCCCTGTTGCCTGGGCACAGCCTGATAGGTCCAGGTCCCCAGTGGAGCCCAAGGAAAATTAAGAGGCATGTGGAGTGGGGGTGGGGGAGAGAGCTCGCGGGGGCACCGCTGCAGGGAAGGAGATGCCCACCAGTCACCTTTGTTGATCTTGCCCACAACAGAGGCCTCCAGCCATCGTGTGTTGTCTTGGCGAGAGTAAAGGCCAAAGAGGACGCCACCTTGCTTGGGGGGCAGGCGGAAGGTAGACAGGAGGTAGATGTCCCCAGCCGTGAGCAAGGCTGTCCGGATCTTCTCTGCCACAGCTACCATCTGCCGGGACTCGCCCACAGTCAGCAGGTCAATCACTGCCAGGCAGGGGACGATCAAGGTCAGAGAAAGGGCTCGAACTCGAAGGCCTGCCCTTTCCCCAGAGCCCTCAGGGGTGGGGCCCCTTCATCATTCCCTCACGCCCCCACCACCAGGCAGTGTTCATCACCTTCTCGAAACACAACCCTTGTCGCTATCAGAGGACAAGACACTGTGCCTTCCTTTCCTTCAACACTACCTACTGCCACCCTCTGGGAACCCAGAGGCCTGGGGCTCACTTGAAAATACAGAAACAGCGCCTCACAAACTTGAGATGTTCCCACCAGGTGGCGCACGGGAGTCACGGCGCCGATCCCGGTAGGAGTAGCACCTGGTGCCCACTGAGAACCGGGCAGGCAGCTTCTCTTTACACCGCTGGCTTGGGCTCATCCCACATCCGAACGCCCCTCCTCTTATCCTGGGGGCTCAGCACACTCGCTCTGGACGAGAACTGCTGCCCACCGAGGGCTCCGACCCTCCCGCTGTCTGGCTCTCTCCCTCGGGAACGGAGGACCCAGCTCCTCTGCCTCCCGTGTCCCGGCCAATCTGTGGTTTCCCTTCCAGCCAGTCAAGAATCTGTGCCTGTGTCATCTGCTCCAGCTACCTCTCCCACACCCACAGGCCCATCCCACCACCAGACCTCCGGGAGAGCCCAGACCTCTCAGTCCCCACCCCCACCCTGTCCTTAGGCAGGCAGCAGCCTAGGGGACGGAGAAGCCCCAGGGCACCCACCTTCACGCTGCTGTCCCAGACCCCGGGTGCCTGTGAACGCTCAGACACCGGCCCAGCCAGGCAGCGCTAGCATCCAGCTCCTGAGACCTGGGCCCTGGCCTCACGCTGACCCTGCCCAGGTCCCACTCACCTCCCACCCTCGTGTTCACTCCTCCCCACAGGGCCGTAATTCAACTCGTCTCTCCGGCTCAATTTCAGGACTTTCCCCTTCTCCCCTTGCCCACATGTTCCCTGCTACTAGGCTGGGAGCAGATGGGGAGGAGGCAGAGGGGTGGAAGAGGATGGAGACAGGCTTACCCTGCAGGTCCTGACTGGCTGACGAGACAGTGCAAAGGACGAGAAGAGCCAGGGCCCCCCGAAGTCCCTGTGTCTCCATGCCGCTCAGCCGGCTCACTACCCCTGGCAGGCAGGCGGCTGGGAGGGGAAAAGGCTAGGCGGAGAGAGCAGGAGCGGGGGGCGGAGGGACTGGAAGGGGGAGTTGAAGGGGGGGCCAGCAGGCGGGTGAGGGGGGGCTGAAACAAAGAGCTGCCAATCACCCTGGAGGCATCCCCAGCTCCGGGAACCAAGGGCACCAGGGAAGAGCCCCGGAGGCCTCCCTGCCTCCTGCCTCTTCCTAATGGGCCTCTCGCCCCGCTGCCTCCCTCTCTCCTGGCACCTCATTGTTGGGGACCACTACTAAATGCTACTGCTTTCTGGAAGTCACAGCTGGGGAAGGCAGGAACCCCTGGCACGGCAGTGCTCCACAGTGGGCATTATTCCACAGCTGGCACGAGAGGATGCCAAGGGAGTGGTGGAAACCAGCTCGCTCTAGTGCCCCGGGATGCACACAGGGCATGAGGCAGGCCGCTCTGACAGGGCGAGTGCGCTTTGTTAGGGTGCGGGTCCCCTGGCGTGCCGGTGCCTCCATGTTCCCTCATTCCTAGGAAAACCTGCAAGTGTTCAAGGGGAACCGGAGGGAGAGTCTAAAGCAGTGGTCAGTGAGGTCGAAGAAATAGGGAAAGAGGAAAAGGGCACTGGGGATGGGTCAACCAGGAAAGGGGGCCACACTGGGAAGACCGGGGGTGCTGGTTGACAGGCCGTGACCCGGATGAAGCAGGGGGGCGCCTCCGTTCCCGTTACCAAGGCAACAGCCCGCGAGCCCACCTCCCCTCCCCCCATCCAGGTCCTAGCCCGGCCTCGCTCCGGCCGTCGCCACCGCCCCTGTTTTGTTTCCATGGCGACAGGCGGCGCGGGGCCGGCTCCAAACATAACGCGCTGTGGAAAACATGCGCCTCGGGGGACCCCCCCCCCGCAGCCCCCGCTCGGGGCCGAGCCCTGAGGGGCCCTAGAGCAGGCCAGGCCACGTGCGGATTTGCGACAGCCCCCCGAGCCGACCCAGGTGCGCGGGACGCCCTTGTCTCGAGCTGCCGCGCCTTCGGGTTCCGGGCTCCCCTCCGCCGCGGCGCCCCGACTCTCCGAGGCGCGCCAGGTCTACAGCCCCCCCGCCCCTTCGGGAGCTGCCAGTGCATCTGGCGGCGGCGGCCCTCCCAGAAGCCCTCGGCTCCGCCCCACGCCGTCCCGCCGCCTCTCGGGCCCCAGGAAGCCGCGCCTCCTCCGGGGCCTCCCTCCGCCCCCCGCCTCTGGAGGCCCGACGGGCGGCGGCGGGGGGCGGGCAGAAGAGCGGAGGGAGGTGCTTCCGGGACAGAGGGCGGGCAAGATGGCGGCGCCCATGGAGCTGTTCTGCTGGGCTGGGGGCTGGGGGCTGCCGTCAGTGGACCTGGACAGCCTGGCGGTGCTGGTGAGGGTCGGTGCCGGCGCCCTCTGCTGCGCCCTGGAGGACTAGGGAGGGGGCCCGAACTAGCCGATCATCCGAATTTTGCCAGGGCGCCTCAGTACGGGCGCTGTGGGGGGAAACTGAGGCAATCAAGAGAGTGCCAAGCTGATTCGGGCTCAGTGCCCTATGCCTTAGCAGCCTAGGTTTTGTGCAGCAATAGCAAGTGGCCTGGTCGGGGGTTCAAGAAATGGGTTTTAGTCCTTGCTCATCCGTTTACTGGCTGTGTGACCTTGGGGAGATCCCTCCTCCTCTCCGTGCGCTTGTTTCTACCTCCGGAGCTTCACTAAAGCTGAACAATCTCAGGGACCTCAGTCTTGGCATTCCCGTCGTCTCCTCAGCCTCCCTTTCTTTTTCTTCTTCCTCCTCCTCCTCTTCCTCACTAAACAGTCTCTACTAAGCTTATTGGTTTTTGAACCAAAAGGCCCACAGTGAGGCTCTGTAGAAAAGAGCTTTGGAGTCAGATTCGCTCATTTCGCTCATTCACTCAGTCCATCATTTAATAAGCGTGTGTTAAGCCTCTTCCAAATATCAAACATTGGCATGCAAAGATAAACACGGCTTGGTCTCTCCCCAGGAGTTGTTTACAGAAAGGCAGGCACGTCAGCAAAGAAATGGGATAAAATGTTCAGGTGCTAAGGTATGAGGCCACAGACTGCCGGGGAAGGGCACCTTTAGTGCCTCTAAGAAAAGGGACGTACTGGTTAGAAGAAACTTGAGGATAGGTGTTCGCCAGGTAGATGGTAGGAGACCGAGGGAAGGATTTTCCTGGCAGACTTGTGATCATGGTCATGTCCATCATCTCAGCCCTGTGTTGCCCATTGTAAAATGGGCATAGCAACGTTCACCTCTTTTTTTGTGTGAGGCAAGTAGTAAGCATGGACCGTAGCACAAGTATTCAATAAATATTGTTTCTCTTCTTGATTCCCTCTGGGGGCCATGTCCCTGGCCTCCCTGCCTTCTGCTTCCTTCCCTGCAGACCTATGCCAGATTTACTGGTGCCCCCCTCAAGGTGCACAAGATCACCAACCCCTGGCGGAGTCCTTCAGGTACCGTGTCCCTGGTGGGGTGAGGAAGGGAGTGAGTGTACAGGGGGAGGAGCAGGAGATGAGACTGGGACGTGGTGCACAGCTAAGGGTCTGATGGGCATTCTCTCTCCACGTCAGGAACTCTGCCTGCCCTGCGGACCAGCCACAGAGAGGTCATCTCGGTACCACACAAGATCATCACCCACCTTCGAAAAGAGGTAGGTGTCTTGGGTAGGGGGGCTGCCAGTGAGAAAAGTCCAGTCAGTTTTCAGGGCAACACATGTTTATTGAGTGCCAAGTATACGCCAAGCTAGACACAGGTAGCCCAGAGCTTCAAGGAACACATGGCATGATGGGGCAGACACACGCAATGTGGGGTGATGCAGTGAGGAGGCCAGAGAGTAAGCCGGGGCACGGTGGGGGCCTCCACAGGTACAGTGCCTTCATCCTGCTGGGCTGGGGGACAGATGACAAGCTGATGACGCAAGGAAGGGAAAGGAGTAGAAGGGAGCAGTTGGCTCAGATGAGATCCTTGAAAATGGTACCAGAGAGGCACTGCTAAGGGCCGTTGCCCTTTTTCCAGGGACCAGGTTTGGCAGGATGTGGGACTCAGACTAGACAAGGCTTAGAGCCCGGGTGGGGAAGTTGAAAGAGCATCACAAGAATGGGGAGGCCTAGGCGATGCTCTTCCCTCTGCCCTTAACTGTGACCTTTGGCAAGTCACTTAACGTCCCAGGTCCATAAGCTCCTTATTTGTAAAACTTGGGGGCTTAGCCAGGGTGCTTTCGCAGAGTTCCTCTAGCTTTCTTGGTGTGGTTTCAAAAGGGAACACGTTGTCGGAAGTGGGACCCTCTTCTTCATTTCTACTTTCCCCAAAACTAAAGAGCTGGGAAATTAATGGAAGTCTGGGAGGCACAGAGAGAGGGGATCCAGGTAAAAGCCGAGATTCCTGGCAGGGACTGGGTCCCTTTGCCAGTTTCCAGCGTTTTCTCCTAACAGCCATCTTGAGAGACAGATTAGTACCCCCGTTCCTCAGGGAAGAAAGTGAGGCTCTTAAGAGATTTAAGAATCGTGCTCAGGAGGTTACTTAGGGACAAAGCTTACTCAAGATGTGCAGGGGGGGAAAGACACTGGAGCTTAGGAAGGTATGGCAGCCTGATACCTGTACAGGTACGGTTGGAATGTGTGTGCAGTGGTGGCGCCTGGGCCATGGAATGAAACAGAGGAACTCGTGAAGAGCTGGGCATTGAGACAAGCCAGGGGGCCCTGGGCATGGGTTCACTGGGCCCCAGGAGCGTGATGGCGTCCCCTAGTTCCTGAGGCGTGGCTGGAGGCCCAACCTGCCTCTGAGCTCCACTCTGCTAGCTTTGTGGTGTCTGGGTTGGGGAAGCTGATGTTAGAAAGTTGCCGTCAGCAGGCATGTTGCCACCTTTCTGTGGAAAGTCTGGGAGCTGCTCCTGGTTTGTGGCTGGGCCTTCCTTCCTCCCGCCAGTGGGCGCGGGACCTTGACGGCCAGCAGGCTCCAAGGCCCAGGCTTTCGGCCAACAGCAACAGGCTACTGGCTGTGCCCAGGCCAGGGGGCCTCGGAGGGAAAAGCTTCTTACGCTACCTCTGCTACACTCAAGAGGCCAGTGACGGTGGCACCAGACAGGATGCCCCTGGGGACGTGCCCTGGAATCCCCCAGCGTCCGCCTCACGGTGGCCATTCCCTCCACAGAAGTACAATGCCGATTACGATCTGTCTGCCCGCCAAGGGGCAGACACCTTGGCCTTCATGTCTCTGCTGGAAGAGAAGCTGCTCCCAGTGCTGGTGAGTGTGCCCAGGCCTGCCAGTGTCCATGGCCAGCGAGGGAGGGGGCAGGCACCCCGCCAGGCTTGGCACGGGGATCAGAAGCCCACCCGGAGTCGGGCAGGTGCACTGGCCCAGACCTGCCTCGCCCTTCCTGTGTACCCAATGCAGATCCATACGTTTTGGGTGGACAGCAAGAACTACGTGGAAGTGACCCGGAAGTGGTACGCAGAGGCCATGCCCTTTCCCCTCAACTTCTTTCTGCCTGGCCATATGCAGCGGCAGCACCTGGAGCGGCTGCAGCTGCTGTGTGGGGAGCACAGGCCTGAGGGCGAGGAGGAGCTGGAGAAGGAGGTACATCTGGGACAGGCGGCTATTGTGTGAGGTGCCCGAGGCTGTGCCAGCAGTGGGAGCGCCTCGCAGAGGCGGCGGCCCGGCGCCTGCCCCCGGCCGCAGCCTACCTGTGTCCTCCCTGCAGCTGTACCAAGAGGCTCTGGAATGCCTGACCCTCCTTGCTCAGCGCCTGGGCTCTCAGAAATTCTTCTTTGGAGATGCGTGAGTCTGACTCCAGGGGAATAAGAGGTGGCCGGGAGGAAGATGCCGGTTTAGCCGTAGCTTCAAGGGCTAGGGTGGGTGCAGGCTCTGGACAAGAGGTCCTCGGGGCAGACACTGGGTCTGGTGACAGTGAGGCTGTGTGTGGGGCTGGAGCCGCCTTAATGGTACAGGAGGGTGGGAGGGCCGCCAGGCATGGGAGGGGCCTGCGGGGCACTCAATGTGCCCTTTATGCAGTCCTGGCATAGTCCCATTCAGGGCCAGGCTGGCGCCACCTAGGGAGCCCCCCCTCACCACTAGGTCCAGACTGTGCCCTCTCCTACCCTGGTGTCCCAGGGCCACTCCATCCCGCCCCTCCGTCTGCTTCAGCCCCGCCTCCCTAGATGCCTTTGTCTTCAGCTACCTGGCGCTGCTGCTACAGGCGAAGCTGCCCAGTGGGAAGCTGCAGGCCCACCTGCGGGGGCTGCCCAACCTCTGTGCCTACTGCACCCACATCCTCAGCCTCTATTTCCCCTGGGACGGAGGTAAGGCCAGATGGAGGGGGGCCCCTGGGACAATGGGCAGGGGTCCAGGAACGAGTCTCCCGCCCATCTTCCTTCCTTGCCCATCAGCTGAGGTGCCACCTCCACGCCAGACACCAGCGGGCCCGGAGACTGAGGAGGAGCCGTACGGGCGCCGGAACCAGATCCTCTCCGTGCTGGCGGGGCTGGCGGCCATGGTGGGCTACGCCTTGCTCAGCGGCATTGTCTCCATCCAGCGGGCGGCGCCTGCCCGGACCCCAGACAGGCGGGCCCTGGGCATGGCCGAGGAGGACGAAGAGGAATGATTGGTCCTTGTGCTCCCAGGACTGAGTTTTCTACTGTCATGCATTCCAGAGGTCCCTGTGTCTCCCCGTTGTCGGTACAGCCAGAAATGGGGTGTCCCCCCCCCAGAATAAACCTGCTCACACTGACTGGGATCAGACATTCTGTCCTTTAGGGGGCCGCTGTTTTCCCCCGCTGGTGCTGAGGGGCCGTGTGGGTGCCTGAGCCCTCCCACGATGCCTGGCTTCTTAGCTGCCTGTGCCCTGCTGCTGACATGGCTCGTGCAAGGGCCCAGCTCTGCACCTCCAGGAAAGACAAACAGTCCTCGGTTCTGGGTCCAGCCTGCCTCATCCCTTCCTTCCCTTACCCTCCCCCCACTCCCATCTTGTGTTTGTACAGTGAGCTCACCCTGGGCCTGGGCCCAGTTTCCACAGGCAACCAGCACAGAGCACACACTCACACAGCCTGGGGGTGAGGGGGGGGCCACTGGGCCTCCCCAAGCCTTTCCCGAGGGGCCTCCAGCCCCTGGCACCAGCTAAAGGGGAGAGTGAGTCACCCAAACCACTGCTCCTGGGTTGCGTCACCAGCTCACCCCAGCCCTGCTGTACCCGCTTTAGCCACAGACAGCATGCGAGCTGACTCTGTCCCGTTTAATGCCCGTGTCGAGCCCAGGCGCCTGCTTGGGCATCTGTACCATCACTGGCGACGCCACAGATAGGTGTGAATGGAGTAGGCAGGTGAGAGAGTCTCCAGGAATCCCACCGCAGGGTCCTTGATGGTGAGAGGCACATCCTTAGAGGAGCTGGGGGGGAGTGGGGGGGAGAGAAGCTGAGTGTGTGGCCCTGCTGAGCCCACCGTCCTGTCCTCAGCCCCTGCCGCTGCTCTCACCGGTTTAGCACGACCACAACTGCAGAGCCGTCCGGATGCATGAGCGCCACTGTCTCCAAGTCGTTCTTCTCGCTGGCAACTAGCCCCACTCGTTGGGAGCCCTCAGGAATGAACTTGCTGAAGGGGGAACAGGTGTTGTCAGGGACCCCCCCAGCTTAGCCCAGCCCCTCTGCCACTGTGGCCAGCTCAGCTCCTATCGACCTCTCACTCAAGAAGTCACCCCCACCCCCGAACACTAGCCAAACCTCGGAGCTAACTCCAGCCCTTGGGCCATGCTGCTGGCACGCCCTGCCCTCCTGCCTCCCAGCAGAGCATCAGGCATTCAGGGGCTGCCAGTGTCTCGTGCCATCATGTCACTTCCTTCCCTGATGGTGCAAGAGGGAGAGGTGTGCCTCTCCCAAGGTTCCCACCCTAAACACCTTTCTGTTCCTCGTGTGGGGTGACGTAAGCCAGTGCAGGCGAGGCTGAGCCTGGTGGGAAGTGGGGGTGCCCGCCCTCCATTCACCTGAAGTGGCCAAGGTGGTAGAACATGGGCTGTTTGTAAAATGTGTCTTGGGCGATGTCCACGATGATAGGGCTGTCGACGAAGTTGCGCACCCAGTTGGGTCCCCCTTCGGGGTTCAGGGCGAGGTTCCAGTCGGTCCAGCCAACCACATGGTAGAGAAGGTTCTAGGATAGGAACAGGGCAGAGAGGCAGGCTCCACACCGCGTCCCGAAATAACGTGGTTAAGGGTCACACGAGGGGGACGGGCTCCGGTGCCTCAGCCTTGTGAGGGGTGCTCGTATCCTTAGCACCTAAGGAGACACTGTGAGCCTGGAGGCATCGCAAGAGAAACCAGCAACTCCGAGGCAGATGTAACTGCCCGAGACCCAAGCCTTCGGAAAGGGCGGGGGTGGGGCGTAGGGGAAGGCAAGACAGGGAATCATGATATCTTGAAATCTGCCCCAAAGAGCAAGCCAGCTGGAGAGGAGGGCCTATCGTCAGCCTTTGATGAGATGACGAAGAAGGGGCCGGGGTGGCTCACCGTGATGATGCTGTGACTGTACTGCATCCCCCGGTCCCAGGAGCCAAGCCGCACACTCTGCTCCCAGAACTTGGAGCCCACGCAGGCCTCCGAGGCAAAGAGCATTGTGTCGGGGAACAGTCGGTGTGTCTCCCCGAGGGTGGCTTTTGCCGGAGCCAGAAAGTCCAGGTACCAATGTACAGCGATGCCATGAATGTACTTAGCGGCCTCTGGGTTCGCCAGCACCTGCACGGGGCGGGGGGACGGGGGAGGGGGCACTGAACCTGGGCCCTGCACAGAGAATTCTTGAAGAGGCACTAGGGGACCTGAGAAAATGGCAGTGAGATGAATGCAACTGGAGGGGTTGAAGTGACATCCATGGGACCCTGGAGATCTAGAGGGGGTCACCACCATCCCAGCACCCCAGGGGTGCCACCTGGGCACCTGGACCCAGCCTGGGGTGCTCTAGGAATCGAGTTGGGGCAGGGAAGGCACTCTGTTTGGGAGCCAGTCATTTGGATGCTGGATGTGTGGGGGTCACTGGGGTACCCATGGAGGTGATGGGCCTTACCACCTGGGCCCAGCGGGGCAGCAGCAAGCGCTGGTCGTCCAGCATGATCAGACGGACATTGCGGTGCGTACTGTTGGCGAGGGTGGGGCCCAGGTCACGAGCGATAAAGTCTCGCTGGTGTTCCGGGGTGAAGCCCAGGCACTGGAAGGGGTACCCGCTAAGCAGCCCAGCAGAAGGCTCGTTCCCGGATGTCACTGCCCAGAACTTTAACTTGTGCTCAGCGTAGGCGTCCAGGAACCTGGCAGGGGAAGGGTTTGTGTGAGCATGACTGAGAAAGGGGACCAAGACCCTGGGGGGTAGGCCCAGTGAGCGGGGGAAACTGGGGGCCCGAATCTGCGAGGCCCAGGAAGTAGAAAGATGAGCTGAGGCGAGTCGGGTCTGGAGGAAAAACCAGGAGGGGACACAGACCAGGGCGTCCCAGAGGGGCGGCTGGTCCAACCCCCACGGCCTTGCCGCTGCTCCCTTACTTGACATAGTATCTGGCCCAGGTCTGGTGGTAGAGGTCCCCCGGCTGACCCTTGATTGACCCTTTCCCATTCACTGCCCCGTTGGTCTTGAGCCAAGTGGGTGATGTCCAGGGACTGGCGAAGAGTGAGACATGGCGCTTGGCCATCTCCAGGGCTTGGTGAATCAGGGGTATCTAGAAACAAAGGCAGTGAGGAGAGACACCCAGAGGTGGAACATAGACAGACTGGCCCAACCAGTGCATCAGGCCCAGCCATTGGCCCCCGCCCTCCCACCCCCAGGACCAAACATGGAGCAGGAGCCGGGTTCTCTCTGCACACTGCTCTCGCCAGAGGCTTCTCAGCCACCAGGCATCAGGGCCACCAGGGCCTGAGGTAGCCACAGCGCCCACCTTGAGCTTGACATCTTCCTCTGGGAGGCTGAAGTTGTGCAACTGGAAGTCATCAGGGGTGTCGGCGTAGGTGTAGGTGCGGATGGAGAAGTCACAGCTGGCCATGGGTACCCTGATGATGTTGTATTCGATTCCTGCAGGAAAAGACCACCAGGATCGGGGAGTCTGAGTCTGCGGGAGAAGGCGGGGCCTGAACTACCACTTGCCAGTCCTAAATTATGTCTTGAGTCAGGGCCAAAGGGAACATGGGCTCCTGGGTGCAGCACAGGCCTTCCGAGCCTTAGTCCCCGAGCACTCCACAGAAGGTGAGAAGCACAATCCTATTTATTTGGGCATTAAGAGAGGACCCAGGCATCAGCGATGGGTGGGAGTCAGGGTCAAAGTGCCAACTGTACTGTCATCTTGTCCCCTTCCTCCTCACCTTCTTCAGAGAAGTACGACTTGAGTAGCAAATTCCGGGCAGCGGGTGACAGGGCCAGGATGTTGAGAGCAGCAGCATCTGTCATGGCCCCTCCAAATCCCTTCATTTTCTGGAACTTCTGCTCTGGCTGCAGGGTCAGTAGCAGCCCTGAGGACATTGCAGCGAATCACAGGTGTCAGTGCACAGGGGAGGAACCCGTGTGACCTCTGGGGCGATTCGGCTCCGGGACGACCCCAGCCTGGCTCAGGGGTGAAGGGTGCACTGCTTACCTGTGCCCGTCCAGTTGGTCTGCATGGTCCCCCGACTCAGCTCCATCCGGCGCCCGCTGCGTGTGCTCTCATAGCGGCTGAAGGTGCCAGGGGCAGGCAGGGTCAGGGGATCAAGGGAGTCGCAGTACGTGGCATTGCAGACACAGACCACTGAGCTGTAGCCAAAGCTTTTCGGGATGCAGGGGCGGGCACCTGGGAGGGAGGGCGGGAGGGGGCACCGGCAGAGGTGAGGGCTGAAGCCTGAGGTCGGGTGAAGGCACGCTGGTCAGGGGGGACGCACACAGGTTTCAAAGGGCCTCTGGCTGTCCCCCCACCCAAGGGCGGTTGCAGTCACTCAGTCCACCATCAGTCTGCCAGAAGGCTCCAAAGGACCACGAGGCAGAAGGGAGTCGCAGGTATACCGCCCTCCTGAGTCACTCACCTGATGCCCAGGATACGGCCTGGATTAGAAGCAACCCCGTGAGGCTGGCAGCCAAGACGCGTACCCTGCCCAGGGGCTTGGGACATTCCTAAGAACAGAAAGAGGAATGGCTGGAGGGCAAGTTCCCCTCCACCCGTCAACGAGTCTCCTGGGCAGCGCTGGGCTGCTGGTGGGCGCCCACAGCTTTGTCTCCCACCTTTAGTGGGGGAAGGAACATGCCCTCTGCTAGTGACAGACCTCCCTCCAAGCCCTCTGCTAGCAACAGCTCTCTGCCCGCCCTAACCGGGACCCTCCTCCACCCCTCTACCCACCCATTTCTCCCTCGACCCCTCCCTCCCTCCATCTGTCCCTCCATCAAAGTGCCATGATGGCCCGCGTCCGAGGAGAGTCCTGTCATTCATTGAATTCCAGAGCCTGGGTGGCCAGTTCCAGAAGCAGACAGGACCAGTGGGAAAGAACCCTGGTTCACTCACCAGCCTGGAGAGCTCCATCGCCGGGTGAGAAGACTGCAGGGTTCCCAAGCCTCGGAGAAGACAGAGGGTTCAGTCCAGGAGAACAGGGATGCTGGTACCTGGGTAGCTACCCACATCGGACTAGCCTTTCGGGTTCATTCCGGCATAATAGAGTGGATGGGTCACGTGACGACTACGGGACAATCACATGATACAGGAAGTGAGGCAATTGCAACCATACTTGTAAAGGGTGCCTGGCTTCCTCCAGGCTATTGGCGGATTATACACCCCGTGAAATTCTGGAATGACAACTTCAGGAAGAATTTAGATCAAAGATCCGAGTAAGGGGTGGGGGTGGGGGGATGGGGGACTGGGTAGAGGCTCCCGGATCCCAGAGGCTGGGACCCACAGCAGACACATGACTTTCTTGAGAAAAAATGTGGACGTAATACTAACAAAGCTGATACTAATAAAAGAGGTTCACTGTGCAGCATACTGAGAAGTGATTAAGACAGGCTTTGCCCTGCAGAGGCTCGTGAGGCAGGCGGGGAGTCAGACACACAGACAGTTACAGATAAAGACAAGCGTGCATAGAGGGGAGGGAGTTAATCCTGGAAGGCTTCCTGTAAGAGAAAGAGCAGGTGATTATTAAGCAGCGAAGTGCAGAGTGGGGGAGGGGGGCAAAGGGATGGCGGGATCCAAGGGAGGGAGGTGTCAACACTGCGCCTCTGAGGGCACCCTTGCTTCACATCAAGATGTGGCTGCTTTCTCACAGGACGGGGAGATTGTGTAAACTTTTTCAGACGCTAGAAAGTGTCCGAGCAGGAGCCTTAGTCCCTGCTGTTACAACCACATCGGCACGTGGACCACACCACACATAACTTAGTGGGAATGACACACGCAATTACGACCTGACCAACACCAGTCCTTCGGGAAGTGACACCATCACCTCCTATAAAATGGAGGCGACACCACCACTTCCCAGGGTCATCACTGGTGTCAGTGACAGAGGCTTGTGCCTGGCACTCAGGAGGTGCTCAGCAATCGCTTGTTGTATCTTTTTTTTTTTTTTAAATTAGTGAAGTCTTTCCAGACGCGCTCCAGGTAAAATTGGTCATTTCTTCTTCTAGGTCCCCATGGTGCTTCAGTATTGTCTCAATGAGGCCAGCTGGAGTGGAAGCTTGGCTCCACCCTTTGCTGGCTGTTTGACCTTCGAAGAATGACTTACGCTAAGCCTAAGCCTCGGTCTCTCACCTATAAAAGGGGAGTGACAGCTCCTACCTCACAGCACGATGTAAGGTTTAAGCACCATAATGTGTGTGTCTAGTACGCTGCTGGGCACCAAATATCGCAAGTTAAGTCGGTGTTTACGGAGTTCCGTCAAGGGATGTCTTACTTACGCTAGGTAGACGGCCTGACACCAACTGGGCAGGTGCCAAACTGTTGAACTGGATTGAACTATTATCACTGTGTCAGTATCCGCCTCATCCAGAGTTCCTGTTTTTCGAGGAAACGTGGCACAGGAGGGCAGGGGATCTATACCTTACGTCCCTCTAGTTCATTCACTCCACATCGCATTATTAAGCAATGCTACAGACACACTGTCTGCTCTGTTCAGGGCCCCCTCCCCTCCCTGTTTCGCTCTGTGGGGGACACAGTCTGTGAGTCTCTTATTTCTTCTTTTTATCCTTCAGTTTGTAAAAATCTTTTAGACTGGATACCACCTCACCTTACTGATTTCTTTCACAGTGTGGTTTTCCCTTGAGACTTACAGATCTTATCTTCTTCTTTTTTTTCTTTTTTTTAAACTTGATTGAGGAACAGCCATGGGCATTGGTTACACATTGCTTTCATGCTACAATGGCACAGTTGACTCTTTTAAGGAGGGCGCAGCTCACAGTGGCCCATGCGGGGATCAAACTGGCAACTCTGGCGATATCAGCACGATGCTCTAACCAACTGAGCTAACTGGTCACCCCCTCCTTTTTTTCTTTTTTTAATTCAAGTTTATTGGGGTGACAATGGTTGCAAAATTACATAGATTTAGGGTGCACAATTCTGTAATCCATCATCTATATATCACATTGTGTGCTCACCACCCAGAGTCAGTTCCCTTCCATCACCATATATTTGCTAGATCTTATCTTCTGAAGTTACTTACTCTATGCTACTTGGGGTGCATTAGACCCTTACCGCACTCTCATTTCATTCTCACAAGGCAGACACTATTCTTTTCCCTACTTTGGCGATGAGGAACCTAAGAAAGGTCATTAAGCTGCCCTGACTCCCCTGGCTACTCAGAGTCCCTTGGCTGAACCACCACATATTTCACGAGTGCCTCTGGTAAGCCAAACGCTGCGCGAGGGGCTGCTGGTTTTCCAAAGCTGCTGAGTTGGTCTGCCCCGTGTGCTCTGCATTGTTTTAAAATCACCCCTTGTTCTTTACAAAGGGTTCTACGTGCCCAAGATGGAGGCCAAGTTGGCTTCTGAAGTGCTGGCTATGTGGCAACAACATGTCTGGGTCCGTGTTCTCCAAAGACATCAGTCAGGGGCTACTGCACTGACCCAGGAGTTCCAGGTTAGGCAGGAATGGTTGGTTTTCGGCTGGGGAGGGGTGGCTCTTCCCCTGTCCCTGAGCGTCCTTCTCCCCCACCCTCGCGATCGCAGCCCAACAGCCCGGGCACCCCCTTTTCATAACAACTATTTTCTAACATGCTCTTTACAATCCTGAGATAAATGTATAGATACGACGACTTCCCTACACACACAATTTAAAAGAATCAGTAGAGCTGCCTTAATTGGAATATGAAGGACAAATAATTGGACTATCTTGATAATAAAATGTGTTTTCGATAAGTAAAAATGCTTCGGCATGAGTATCTAGGAGACGTAATGTACTCAGATCTTGCACTAACCCTAAATGAAATAAATTAGGAAATACCAGAAGCAAAACCAGCCCATGTATTAATACTTTCAATATGTAATTTTCACCATATGTCATTTTCATAATATGTAATTATCATTATGCTGCCAAAGCATTAAATATATGATTAATGGAAATGTTTAAAAGCCAATCTTTACGAATAAGAGTCAGTGCATTCCACATGTCTCCACGAATTTAATACTTGATTCTAAGCCTTGGCAATTCAATCAGCACCACTTTTAACAAATGGTGTTGAGACAACTGGATATCCACATGAAAAAGATAAACTTAGACCCTTACCTCACTCCATCATCAAAAATGAAAGCAAAACAGATCCTCGACCCAAATGTAAGAGCCAAAATTACAGAACTCCTGGAAGAATGCATACGAGTAAATCTGTGTAACCTTGGATTAGGCACTGGTTTCTTTGTTCTTATTTTTTAAGCAACAATCAACATTTGTTATCTCCCACAGTTTTGGTGGGTCAGGAGTTGCCGGGTTGGACAGCTCAGATTTGAGGTTTCTCATGAAATTGTAGCTAAGGCATTGGCCAGGACTGCAGTCATCCGTAGGCTTAAGTGGGCTGAGCTTTGCTTCCAAGATGAGCCACTAGCTAACACAGGTGGTAAGACGGAGCTGGCTGTTGGCAGGAGGCCTCCGTTCCTCCTCATGTGGACGTATCCACAGGGCTGTTGGAGTGTCCTCAAAGCATGGCAGCTGGATTCCTCCAGAGTGAGTGAGCTAAGACAGAGCAAGGCAGAAGCGCAAAGTCCTAGCCTCAGGCATCACACATCATCACTTCTGCAATATTGGTTACACAGGTCTTCCCCATACAATATGTGGGGTGACTAAACAAGGTGTGAACACTCGGAGGTGGGGATCGCTTGGGGCCATCTACCTAGCTACAAGGCAATCTACCACAGTCCACCCACTGGCCCTTAATAGGTCATGTCTTCCCACATGTTACACCTTCCCCAGGTTCCCCAAAGTCTCATCTCATCACATCTAAAGTCCACAATCTCAGTAGACAATGGTTTCTTACATATGATTCCAAAACACAAGTGACAAAAGAAAAAACAAGATACATTGGACCTCATCAAAACGAAACGTGTTTGTACTTCAAAGGACCCCACCAAGAAAGTAAAATGACAACCCACAGAATGAAAGACAATATATGCAACCACATATCTGATAAGGGCCTAGGATCCAAAATATACGTATAAAGAACTTTTACAAAGTAATGGCAAAAAAATAACCCAATTAAAAATGGGCATAGGATTGAAAGAGACATTTTCTTCAAAGATAATACACAAATAGCCAACAAGCACATGCAAAGATGCTCAACAAACATCAGTCATTAAGAAAATGCAAATCAAAACCCCTGTGAGATGCCACTTTGCCTGGGGTTGCTATAATAAAAGAGATGGACAGTAATAACAAGTGTTGGGATGGAAAGAATGTGGGGAAATACATCGCTGGTGGGAACGTAAAATGGTGCAGCCGCTATGGAAGACAATTTGGGAGTTCCTCAAAATGGCAACCCTAGAGTTACCATGTGACCCAGCTATTCCATTTCTAGGTATTTATTTAAGAGAAATGAAAACATGCACCCACACAACGACGACTTGCTTGTGAATGTTTAGAGCAGCATTATTCATGGAAATGACCTAAATGTTCACCCACCATTATTCATTTTATTGTGAATGAATAAACAAACTGTGGTATTTCCATACAATGGAATACTACTCGGCAATAGAAAGGAATGAAATATTGATACATGCTACGACATGAATTAACCTCAAAAACATCATGCTACACGAAGAAGCCAGACACAGAAGATCACATATTGTATGATTCCATGTATATGAAATTCTAGAGTAGGCAAAGCTATCCAGACAGAAAATGAATTAGTGGTTTCCTGGAGCTGGGGTGGGAATGGAGGTTAACTGTTGCACAACTCAGTAAATTTACTAAAAATCATTGAACTGTACACTTAAAAGGGGACTTTTATAGTCTGTAAATTTCACCTCAATTAAGCAAGTAAAAGTTTTATTACTATTTGCAGTTGGTTCATTGTTTTTGTAGGAACTACACTATTTCCTATTTCGTTGACACTATTCAACGAAACATATTCCATAGCTAGGAACGCTCTAATGCACTGAGTAGGCAGATGCAGCGATTCCAAGACAATGTATTTTATTTAAGCTCCCTTCTCCATAATGGTCTTCTAAATTATTGGGCTTTTTCCAGAAAAAAAGTTCTTGTGAGTCTTTTTTGCTTTATTACATAATAAAGTCCCGCTGGTTTATATTTGATTTTATATTGGCATATGTTGTTGAGCAGAAATGTCCAAAGTCAAGTAGAATGAGAGACAATTCTTCCTTATGCAGGGCTGTCCTGCACGTTCTAGAACAGGGGTCTGCAAACTGCAGCCCATGAGCTACATGTGGCTCTTTGGGTACGTTCCGTCTCAAAAGTTTGCCGACCCCTGGAAGAGCCAATCCTGTCCCTCACAACAATTTAAAAATTATTTGAGAGCCATAAATACATTTTTACATAATCACCATTATGTGAATAATATCCTTTAAAAATTTTATAAATTTTTAAACTATGATAGTTTTATTTTCATTTTCAATTTTACTTCAGAGTCTGCGGCAGTTTGCTGAACCCTGGCGGCTCTTCTGTTTCAAAAGTTTGCCGACCCCTGTTCTAGAAAGTCTACCTTTCCTGTGCTCCATCCATGAAATCCTCCAAGTGCCTCTTAATGGTGGTCTCCACTAAAGACACAAGTTCCAAAAATGTCCCCTAGGGGGCGACTGAGAACCACTGCCCTAGTGAGTCACCTCAACAGCCTAGGCCTCTGTGCAGTGGCCACTAGGGGTGCACTAGGTGGCCATAAGTGCATATCTCTGTCCCATTTTAAAAGATTTAGCTAAATACCAAGGATGGACAACTGGGAAACGAACATAAGCGAAGAGCAGAAGTACAAAAATAGTCTGGCTGACCCAGCCAGCGGTGACGTTCCGATCCCACTTGGGCCAGCCCTGTGCCAGGCTGCGGCTTGGCTCGGGACAGCACACTTCAGCCCTGGAGACAGGTTAGGTGCCATGCCATTTGCTCCTTGCTCTTTAAGCCTCAAACCAACTCCCTAAAGAGGACGCCTACCCCCTGCTCCCAAATCCCACTGTCACCTCCATGGTCAAATCAAAGAGACACTTTCTCATTCCATGCACAGAACAACAGATGCTCAAAAAATGCTAGATGAATGAATGGATAAACCAATCAAGCCAGGACCTGACCTTTCAGCCCTGGTTTCTGATCTGAAGATACCCCACTCCTCCTGAGGACCGGCACCAAAAAATGACTCCCCTCTCCAGTAAGACTCCTTCTGCCAGTTACTAGGGTGTGGTTTCCCCCCTGCATTCATCTGATTAACCAACTCTTTTTTTCCCCCAGCTTCACTGCGATGTAATGGACATGTAACATTGTATGTTTCAGATACATGTATATACTGCACAATGATTACAATAGACTCTGATTAACCAACTCTTAAACAATAACCATGGCATTCCCTGTGAAGCCCAGTGCCCATGAAAAGCACTTATGCCTCACGTGCTATCCTCTATTTTTTTCTCAAGATAATAGCCAACCTTTCATGAGTGCTAATTACATGCATTCGCTTGACAGGCCCATGTTATAGATAAGACTCAGACTTAGAGAAAGTAGATAAGCGGCAGAGTGAAGCCTAAATTCAGACCCGTCTTTCCCTGAAGCCCCAGCCGCTCTTAGCCGCCATGTCAAAGAGCCTTCCTGATAGTTCAGTAGCATATTTTTAGTCTTCCTGTAGGTTATAAACACGTGCAGAGCAAATTTCATGGGTCCTATTTCTTGGAAACCTCAAGACTCTTCACTCAGAGGCAAGCACCGAATCTGGGCTCAGGGTTTGCTGACTGAGGGGGTTGTTACCAAGTTGTTACCTGCTTGTCAGTGTTTCAGGGACAGCCTTGGTGTGGTTTGGGGCAGAATGGTGAAGTTCGGCAAGAATGAGCCTAACTCTGAACATGCTGATTAGCATCTGAGTGAGACCCAATGGAGGGGCTTGGTTCAGGCTCCAGGAAGGATGGCTTCGGATACTGAACACCCACGACCTGCTGGCACATTCATTCCTGCTGTCGGAGCCTCCCAAGCGGGGCTGTAATGAGACTCACACACGAGAATAACATCTGCGAAGGAGATCCTTGGGAACTGTCAAGCTCTATGGAGGGGGCGGGAAGTATTGCTGTTCTAGTTGTTCAGCCTTTATTTCTTCCCTCGGTCGTCAAAGGAGTCCTGTGTCCAAGACCTCTCCCGCCCCGCCGTGCTTCCTCTGGCCGCCACCCTTTCTCTCTGGTCCCCTACAGGAGGGGAAATGTGCAAGGGTGTTTTAGCATCGACACCAGTGACTACACAGATTGAAATCCTTGCTTCATGACTCACTACGTCAGAGGTATTGGGAAGTTATTTAAGGTCTCGAGCTTCAGTTTCCTCATCTCTCTAAAACTCTTGCCTCAAGGGTTGTTAGGAGGATTTAATGCAACACTGCATGTAATATTATTATTCATGCCAAACTTCTGGAATGAGTGGCTACACTTGATGAGTCCTCGCTCAGACTTCCTCCTCTCCACAGGCTGACGCTGGGCCCTCCCCACTCCAAACCACTCACTGCTGCCAGCGTCACCGTGACTCTCTGTCCAGTGGACAGTGGTCAGCTCTTCTCTGCCTTGGCCTTTTACCTCAGTTGACACACGACCCCTCCCTTCCTAAAGTGCTCTCCTTCGTTCCCAGGGCGCCGCACTCTCCTGGCTGGATGACCCCCCACTTTTCTGGCTGGATGACCCCCCACTTTTCTGGCTGCTCCTTCTCCTCTGCAGGCTTCCCCTCTTCTTTCTGCCTGCGGGTGTTCCTCGGGGTTTTGTCCTAGGCTTTCTCCTCTCGTACGTCATGCCCTCTCCAACAAGACAACCCCATGGCTTCGATTGCCTTCTAGTCGCTTTTGGTTCCCAAATCTCCACCTCCAACCCCAATCTTTTCCTGCGATGACCGCTGTGACTGTCCTCCAGGCCTTTCCTCGGGGTGTCTCCCACACACCTCAGCAGGACCATCATGAGAGCATCACCTCCCCCAGCTGAGCCCACTCTTCCTCCTGTGCTCCCTTCCCCATGAATGGAAGCCCTTCCTCCCAGAGCCCGGGACTCCTTCTTGAGTCTGTCCTCCCCCTGTACCCTTCTCCCCATTATGTCCCTCCTAAACTACAGAAGCATCTAACCGCCAGCGCCACCCTAACCTCTACTTTTCTCCTCCAATCCATTCTCCAAGAACTGGATGGTCTAACAAAAATATAAATTCCAAAGCTACATTCTCCGGCCTCAACTCCTTCCGTGGGCTCCACACTGCCTTTAAGAGGGCTCTGTCCCACCCTCACGCCTCACCCCTCCATTTGCACCATCTATCTGCTCTATGAGGCTGCATCCCACCTGGCCTCTGCTTTCCTCTCTGCCACAAGTACTTCCTTCTTCTCTCTCTCTCAAAAGAAAAAGACAAAAAAAAAAAAAAAAAAAAAGACTAACTCCTGTTTTTTATTTTTGTTTGTTTTTTTAACTTTATTGGGGAACAGCAGCCATGGTCATTGCTTTCATGCTACAATGGCATAGTTGACTCTTTTAGGGAGGGCGCAGCTCACAGCGGCCCATGCGGGGATCGAACCGGCAACCTTGGTGTTATCAGCACTACGCTCTAACCAACTGAGCTAACTGGTCACCCAAGTGAGTAACTCCTCTTTTTCATCATGAAGGCCTCAGCCTTACTATCACTGCCATCAGTACGCTTTTCCTGACAACTCTGACTGGGTTAGGCACCCTTGCTATGAGCTTCCCTATTCACACACTCAGGAAATAATAACTGGGTGTCTACTAGGTGCTGTTCTAGTTCCCGGGGCTACAGCAATAAATACAATGATCAAGCCCCCAGCTGTATGGAGCTTATGTCCTAGTGGCTGGTCGACACAAAACCAGGTCATCTCATGTGGCCATGAGAACTATGAAACAAAATAAAGGGGTAGGGAGTGCTGGGTACAGCCAGGGAGAGGGATAACTGTAAGAAGTGGCTTTAGAGAAGGAGGCCGGGGGGCCAGATTCTGTAGGGCCTTGGTGGCCAAGGAGTCTGAATTTTGTTCTACGATGGAAATTCACTGGAGAGTTTGGTGCAGGGAAGTGAGAAGATCAGGTTTGTATTTTTAAAAGGTCATTTTGGCTGCTGTGTAGAAATCAGACTGCAGGGGGCAAGTGCCAAGACAGGGAGACCGTCTGCCAATTAGAGCCTGCCACAGGACTTGTCCCCCTTGTTCTACATTCTTCGTACCCCAGAGTCCTCGCAAAGGGTCTTCCTCCTGTACGCACAGCTGTTCACCTCCATTTAGCCTAGTTAATGCCTATTCATCTTTCAGGACTCACCTCGGGCATCATTTTCTCCAAAAAAATTCTCTCTCCACACACACCTCTGCTGTAACACAAGCTCATAGCCCTTACGTCTCCTCTGTAGCTCTTAACACAATGAATTGATTGTACAAGCGGCCTATTGTCAGTTACGGCGCCCAGCGGCCTGCTCACTCGTTTGCCTGCTGTTGGGTCAGTGCTTAAGCCCAGCAGGGTATGGACCAGTCTGTCCCGGCTCCCAGGCGTATCCCCAGTGCGCCGGGCGCTGGTCCAATGCCCGCTGAACGTTTGTCGAGTGATTGGAGAATAGACAAATTACACAGACCTTGTTCCCACTCCACCCTCCAAAAGACAAGAGGAGGAGGATTCGAAGATGTGATCCCTTCTTCTTCATTAGTAAATTACGACCATCCCTACAAATAATAACAATGATGAGGAAAAGGAGAAGTGCAAACGCAGCGAGGGGAAGAGTTAAGATCCAAACGGTGCTCCATCCAGTACGCCTACCGTGGGCGAAGCGAAACAGCAGCCCCATCCGGAGGCGAAGGGAAATCCCACTGCAGCCCTGCAGAGCCGGGGGCGCGGGGGGGCTGGAGAAGGGGGCTCTGCAGAACCCGCGCCGGAGCGAGGTTGCGCCCCCACGACGCGCAGCCGCGAGACGCGCAGGAGGCGGGGCGGGACGGGCCTGTTTTGGGAAGAGAGGCCTCTAAAGGTCAGGAGGCGGGACGCAGGCCCCTTCCGCGCTCCCTATTGGTCTTCCTATGGACGAACGGTTCTCGTTGACCAGCCGTAGCCCAGATGCGGCGCAAGCGTATTCGGAGGTCTACTGGGAAAGCGGGCGCGGGAGGCGAGAAGCGCGCATGCGCCTGGGAGTACACCCGCCAGCACGCTGTAATAAGCAGGGGGAGACTGAATTCCCTCAGTGAGTCCAGCCCCCAGAAGTTGAACAGGATTCTTAAGCTTCCTCCTCCGAGAACCTCAGGATAGGGAACCATCAGTGCCCAGAAACTGTCCCGTTGGGAACCTCAATCTCCACCCCCTCCTACCTCATTTTGTCGTCCTGGCCGCACCCCAACCCTCCCTGAGGCGGGGTTGTTATGATGGTGAATTATTCAAGAAGTCTTGCAGCCTGCCGCCATCTGTGGACAGCGCCCCTCCCTCCTCCCTTCCTTCCCTGTAGGACACGCGGCTATCGCCAAAACCGTAGGGTCGCAAAGCTTTCAAGGCCCCACTCTGTTACTTAGGTAACTTGAGTTTGTTGAAGACCTACTAAGTGTTAGACCCTAGTGCAGTGAGCAAGTCCCTGCTCTCAGGAGCTTACATTCTATGGGACCACACAGACAAAAGGTAATTTTAGATAGTGCTAAGTGCTCCAAACAACGTGGCAGTGTGATAGAATGACCCCGGGGGTGGGGGTGGGGTTGCTCAATGAGAAGGTGAAAATGGAACCAAGACCCGAATTAGGTGAAGGCAGTGGCCACAGGACAGCGTTTGATGCTTGAGAAAGAGCAGGTGAAAAGGCCCTGACCACAGTCTCAGAAGGAGTTTGCAGATTTTTCTAAATACAATGGGAAGCCATTAGATTGGGGTGGAACCTTGATGTGACATGCTTTCTTATTTTGCTGAGTGGAGAATGGATTGTTGGAGTGAAAATAGATCAATTTAGAGGCTGGCAAAGAGACTGGTGGCTCGAGCTAGGTAGCTGGGGAGACGTGGATGAATTCAGGATAGGATCGGATGTGTTGGATGAGGGAAAAGAAATCACGCTTCTGGAATGTGCAGCTGGGTGAGGGGTGGTGCCACTTGTTGAGAAGGAACAGTTGGAAGAGGAACAGGTACGGTCGGTGGGAATCGAGTTCGGTTGTGACCATGTTGAGGCTGAGATGCCCTTGGACATCCAAGCAGAGATGTCAGTGGGAGGCTGGAGCCCATGGAGAGGTCAAAGAGGGAGCTATCCATGGACACTCAGATGGTGTTTAGAAGCCGTGAGCCTTGGTAGAGACATCTACAGATGGCATGGAAGTAGAAGAGGGCCAAGGGGAGTGCCCTGGGGCCCTCCAGGGGTAAGCAGTCCAATAAGGTGTACAAGTTGCCAAGGATAACGAGAGGGTAAAGTATAAGGAAAAATAGAATGAATGTCTTCAAAGACTAGGAAGGGACAAAGTCAAGAGAAAAAAAACGCTGATTTTCTGAGTAAATGTTTTTTAGAGGTCAAGTGAGATACAGGCAGAGAATGGTCATTGGGGCTGGTAACTTTTGGTTACTGAAAACTTGGTCAAGGGCAGTACCTGGGGAGAGGGAGAGGAAGGAGCTGTGGGAGTAAGTGCAGGGAAGGAAGAAAACGTTTTGCTATGAAAAGGAGGAGAGATACAGCGTGGCAGCTGGAAAGAAATGTACGTGTTTGGAGAGAGTTTTCATTATGAGAGATACGAGAACAAATTTCATTGGCGATAAAGCATGATCCAGAAGAGAAGGGGAAAACTGAAATTTATTGAGGCTTACTTAGTGTGTGAGGAGCTTTAGAAACATTTGTCCTCACAATTTTTTACAGGTCAGGCAACGGAGGTTAAATAACTTGCCCAAGGTCATGCAGCTAGAGGTGGCGGTGCTGAGAGGCCAGCTAGGTTTTTATGACTCTTCATGCCTCACCACTCAATTGTACAGGCACACAGCCCCCTATGCTTCCATACCCGGGACACGCCTTACCCCAGCCATAGTTCCCCTGGCAAATCACAGAGAGCTACTCTCGTGCTGGGGGGTCAGGACTTTTCCTCCTCCAGTGCTGTAAGCTGGGGCATCTCCCTCACAGCCTGAACACCCATGCAGCACAGGACAGAAGCTCTCCCGGGCCAGACGAGCAGAGGCAAGCAGCAGGAGCCCCCAGAGGTAGGAGGGAAAGGGATTCTTTTGGGGGGTGTTCAGCGGATTTCTTTTGTGCCAGCCAGTGCGAGGGAACGCTGGGGGCTGCTGGTCCCAACCAGCTGGTGCCTGTGGCCCCGGTATTCATCTGTTCAGTGTGGCAACAAGCGCAGGTCACAGCCCAGTCTCCCGGCTGCCCCCATTGAGGCTGAGGCTGTGGGGTCGGGTACCACGCTCCAGCCGGCGGCCTGACAGGAGGCGCCGCAGGGAGGAGCCGGAGCTTAGATCGCCACAGCTCCGAAGGTGGAGGCTTTCTCGGCCCGGCCGGCCCCACGGGCTCCGGGGTACCTGAAGGGGGACACAGGAACGGGCAGCAGTGTGGCCCCACTTGAAGTTCCAGGCCTTCCTGGTATCTTCCCAGGCTCCCCTAATGCCTACCTGCTTATGCCCATGGGCTCCATTCCCACTGGGCTCTGGGGCCTTCCTGGACATCTGCAGGAAACGAGTGACCAGACCCCGGCCTGGCCAGCTGCCCTTCAGGTCCCCCAGGGAGTGGGCAGGTGCAGGGCCCGAGGGCAGGGGGACCTTCTGTAAGGTGGGCACAGGGCGCCGTTTCTCGGCTGAATGGGCACGCAGCAGCTTGGGGGAAGGGCATCGGGCTAGACGGAAGAGGCAGGCTTCAGAGCAGAGGCCTGGAGAGAGAGACAGACAGAGAGGTCGAGTGGGTGGAAAGGGAAAGGGACACCCCTTCAGAGAGTGCCAGGCACTCCCTGCCCACACCCCTGGGCACTGACCACGTGCCTGACCTGTATCTGTAGAAGAAACAGAAGCAACTTCTTCCTCAAGCACTTTGGTATAAAGGTCCCTGAAGTCAGCTGGGGAGAGAAACAGGGACCTAGTGGGCATGCTCGGTGGACACGCCCACCCAGCCCACCAACCTCCAGTGAGAATTCAAGCCCAGAAGCGCTTTCACAGCTCCCACGTCGCCCCCCATCCCCAACCGAGGGGGGCATCACCTCTGCCCTGAGATGATACAGTTCACCAAGACAGGGACTAGGTGGCATCGTTCACAGTGGCAGCCTCCCCGGGGCGGGCACACACAGGGGTAATGGGCACTTCCCGTGCCAACGCTAAGCATTTTCCTCACATTATCTTATTTCTCAGTAACTCTGTCGTACCTATGGTTGGGATACCATTGTTACACCTGTTTTACAGGTGAGAAATTGAGGCTTCATAACTGGCCCAAGCTGGGAGCTGTGGAATTGGGTTTCAAAAAACAAATCCTCCTCTTTGAGCCACGAAGCTACTTGACGTCGTTTTTCTACGTCAAGTAGCGTTTTCTCTACGTCTATGTTTTCTCAAGGAGTGCCTGCAGCAGGAGTCGACTCCCCCTTTCTTCCTCCTCAGGGACCTCAACAGTGTCCCAGATCTCTGGGCGTCCCTGGCCCTCTAACTCCCAGGGCCTGCCCTCCTGAACCTTGGTGGGGGTGGGGGGTGCTCACCGGTGTCGCTGGAGGTGGTGATGCCTGGGTCACTGTGGGACCGCGGCAGCAGCAGCGGTGGCTGGGGAGCCGGATGAGGAGGCCGGTGCCCCGGAGGGGTGAGGGAACCTGAGCTATCGCTGAAGCGGCGCGTGGGGGCTCGGGTGGGAGGGGCTGCAGCTGGCCGGCTGCCTCCGCGGGGGACCCGCCGCCTCAGCTCCGGGAAGCAGGGTCCCACCCAGGGCGGCCAGCCCTCCAGCCGGTGACAGCTGCGGGCGGCTGTAGGGGCACCCAGGGGGGGTGGGGCCTCCGGCGCAGAGCAGGAATAGGAGCGGGCAGCCCGCGGGGGCCGTCGGGGCAGCGGGCTGTCCTCAAAGGGGCCGCGCAGGCCGCAGTCCAGGCTGAGACAGTAGCCGGCGCGGCTGCGCTGAATGGAACGGAAGAGCACGTAGTCCACGGAGCGCACGGAGCCCTGCAGCTCCAGCAGGCAGGAGTCCTCGGACGGGCTGGAGCCCCCCGGGAGGTCGCCGATGGCTGACAGCACCAGAGATCCGCTGTCCATGGACACTGTGGGCGGCAGGGGGCGCTGGGTAGCACCAGCCCCACCCGGCCTGGGCAGCTCCTCTTCTCAAGCCCAGCCTCTGGGGGGCCACGCTGCCTCCAGTTTTATCTCAAAGGAGACAGATAAGTCCAGGGTTCCAAGAAGCCACCGCCCTCGCTGGTCCCTACACCACCAACTCAGCCTCATCACCCCCTTTTTTGCTCCCACCCAGCTCTGCCATCCCAGGCGGCCCGCCTGCCCTTGTCTGCCCCCCCACCCCCCACTTTCTGCTCACCATCTACAATGGAGGCCACTCGCTCGCAGATGCAGGAGCCATCATGAAGCTGAGGGTCAAACAGAGTGGCCTGCAGAAGGCAAAAAGGGTCAAGGGTCCAGCCCTACACACCGATGCGGCCCCGCCCCACGTGCTGGACAGTGCTCTGGAGGCCGGGCTTCCACTCCAGCTTTGTCCCTTTGTAGAAGTCACTTATGTGAGCCTCAGTTTCCACATGTATAAAATAGAAATAATAGTTCCTGCCCCACCCACCTCACTGAACTCTAGGGGAGATCATAGGTGACAGCGGCGCACTGGTGCTATAGGATCGTGAGAACTATTATCTTTATCCGACGGCTGTGGCCAGCTCACTCAGCTTTCCAGGCTGTAGCCCCGGCGCCCTCGCCCACACCAGGCGCTGCTCTTACCTGGCTGTCTCCTCGTAGCCCCATGACGGCCTCATAAGAAGGGGGGCAATCAGTAGGGTACAAGGGCACTGGACTGTCCATGGAGCCGTTGTAGGTGATGCTGGCAGGAGGGAGAGAGAGGGTCAAAGCCTGCAGAAGAAACTGCTCCACAAGGGTCCTGCCCACGCGTCCAGCCACCAGCCCCAGCCACCTTCCCCCTCCTCAGCTCCCTCAGCAGGACTCCACCAGGCCTCACCTCTGTGCGTCTGTTTCTGAGCTGCAGGTGTACTCGGGGGGATAATAGGGAGGTGGGGGCACAGGCGGTACGAATTCCTCCAAGTCCAGCATGGTGTGCAGAAGAGGGGCTGGGGGCGAGGATGTACAGCCCAGAGGCCCCAGGGGGCCTGAGACGGAGCGCTCAGGGGCCAGCTAAGGGGGAGCAAGCCAGTCAGCACGCCTGGATTCCGGGAACGCAGCTCCTTGGCTCCCAAACTTCTCTCTTAGCTGCATTTTTCTGGCCCCACCCCCTCCAAGAAGCCCAATGTTGGCTCCTCCCTCAGCCAGAACAAGCTCCTCCTCTAACCCTGCCCCACCAGGGACCTCCAGCTCTGGCCCTGCCCATCTAGAAATTAGTCCTCTTTATGACCCCGTCTGTACCCAGAATCGCCACCTGCTCTCTGTCCCCTCCAGAACATCAACCCTTTATCCCCCACCTAGGACCTTCTTGACTCCGCCCGACTTCTAGTCCCACTCTCTAATGTCCCCTTTCCTGGCCCCAGACTGGCATGACATACTCCTTGTCATTCCCCTCCTCACCCCCCCTTTCGGCCCCCCAAGCACCCCTACAATAATAGACATGCCTCATAGGTGGCCCCTGGTGCTCAGAAGCCAGCACTGTAGCTACAGCCCCTCAACCCGAGTCCCTGCCCCCCTCACACCTGCTTGGCATGGACCCTGGCCACCCTCTCACCGTGTGCACGAGGTCCAGGGAGAAGATTTGGATGCAGCAGACAATAGCTGAGAGGGTACAGATTATGGCGGCACAAATGGTGAGCCCACAGACGCTGAAAAGCAGGTTCTGGGAAAGGAAGCGGGCGGTGAGAGGGGCCAGGGGAGGGGTGAATCCCAAGCTCGGGCCTGTGAGGTCCCCACGAGGGGAGGCATGGTGGGAGAGGAAGGAACGGTGGAGGTGGGGGTGCGTGCTCACCTTGAGGGCCGCTCGGGCTTCATCACAAGTGGAGTTAGGGGAAACTTTCAGCTCCTGCCCTGAGCCCTTACAGGGCCGGAGGAGGGTAACGGAGGGGCAGCACACACACTCCTTTCCTTCCTGAGTGGAAGTGGGGACGGTGAGGCAGCCTGAGTCAGGACACACCCAGGTGCCCCACACGGCTCCCCCAACTAGTTCTCTCTGCTTGCCCTCCTCGGATCTCACCAAGGTACAGTCCCGGAAGTCTCGGGCCAGCTGGGCATTCTTACAGGACAGAACAGAGCCAGCCATGCTGAGCATGACACACAGCACCGAAAGCAACGAGAAGAAAGAGATCTGGGGGAAAGAGGGTGCAGGTTCAGGCCGGGACCCTCAGGAATGCGTCTCTACCACGGCGGGCACCACCCTTCTTCACACACACTTGTGCCTGGCTGACACCAACAGGAGAGCCAGTTCCCTTCTCCAGGGCATAAAGGGGCAGCCCCTCAGGTGCTGGGCACCTGCCCCCCACTGGGCACCAGACCCTGGCACCTACCACTAGAGTGAATGGCCGCTTCCAGGACACAATGCCAACCACCCCGGAGAACGCCAGCTGGGGACAGAGTGGGCACAGGCTCAGCCTGGCAGGGGAGGCACCTGAGTGAGCTCCTCACCACAGGGTGCACTCAGCCCTGTAAGGAAGGAGAGGACCAGGAGAGGGAGGCAGGCCAGGATTTGGACTGGCGACTGGTGTGGAGGGGTGGGGCCCAAGGAGCTGCCCCCACCCAACGATTGTGCACCCAACTCACCGAGAATCCAGCCCAAGATGGGCAGGACCTCTTGATGCTCTCGGTGGTGGTAACGGAGGAGGCCACCATGCTGAAGGTGACCACCAGGATGCCCAGGAGCACCTGGGCCAGCCCCAGCGTGAGCAGGGCCTGCAGCCAGGGTCGGTGGAGGCGGAGGTGGGTAAGGCCCCGGGTGCTGGGCCGGCTGGTAAGCGAGCGGCTGGAGTCACTAGGCGAGGGCATCATGCCTGCCGCCCGGTTGCCTGAGCCTCGCTCGGCCCCTCCTGGCGCTTGGGAGCATCTCAGAGGCGCCCAAGGCCCCGTCCTTCCTCCTCTCCACCCGCCTCGCTCTAGAGCCCACCCCCTGGCTGGGTCTCCTGGGGCATGGCCCAGGGACTCCAGCTGGGGGGGCCCCCAAGGGAGGGGCGTCACGGGGGGGCCGCGGAGTACTCCCTCCCCAGCACGGGCACTGGACGGGCACCGTGCCCGGGACGGCGATGAGGACGCCGGGGCACAGGCTCATCGCATCTCTAGGGAAGAAGGGCGCCGAGAAGGGCTGGTCGGGGAGTGAGGAGAGGGCGGCGGTCCGCAACCCAGGGGAGGGTGGGGAGGGTAAAGACAAGAAGGAAGGGAAAGAAGTCCAAAGAGGGGAGGGGTCGGCGTGGGTGACTCTGGAGGAGCGGTCGGCGTGCCCGCGGAGTGTCCGGTGGGATCCGAGGCCTCCTGGTGGGGAGAGACCACAGCTCCGCTGTCCCCTGGGTCGCCTGCCTCGCTCCCCTCCCCACCGCGCTCCGCTCCCCCAGCTCGGGCTGCAGTGGGTCTGGAACTGGAGGCGGGGGGTGGGGACGGGGATGGTGCGAGAGGAGGGGCGTGGCGTGGCGGTGCTGGCCGGAGCGGTGCACCTCGGGAGTTGTAGTCCCGGCAGGCACCCTGCGAGAGGGGAGGGCTGGAACCGCGACGTAGCCGGCGGGCGTGCCCTGCAGCCCCTGCCTCTCTCTGGACCCAGGCCCGAGCTAACATCTCTTTCGGCGCCCTCTTGAACCCCACCCAGCCTCTCAGGCCCCTGGGCCCGCTGTGTTCCCAGCAGAGGTAGTGGCTCTTTCCCGGCATTAGTGGAGAGGCTCCCGATTCCACGCCCAACCGTGGACTGCCCTCCCTCTTCCTGCACCAGCCACCGGGGCTCTGCTGCCCCGCCCTGGACAGCTGGCAGTTCACACTAATGCCAGGTCTGACCTTCCCGCTGGAGTTCACTCTGCTCCAGTCCCCATCTCACTCTCCTTTCTCTTTCACAAGGTCTAATTCCCAGTAAAAATTCCGGAAACGGGAATTTGAGTTCCAGTTCCACTTTCTTTTTATTAAATAACCGTAGCAACAGCCTTGGCACAGCAGAGAGAAGCTGGGTTGGGGTGTGTAAGAGGTGGCAGCGGTGTGGCCTGATTGGGCAGTGGGGGAGCAGTGACTGGGTCACAGTGGGCTCCTGTACCCAAAGTCAGGTTCAGCAGTCATGGCTGTGGGGCTGAGGGTGCGATAGAGAGACATCAGGCGTCATGTGGTGATGTCTCACCAAGTCCCAGAGACCGCAGGGCTGGGGGCCAGGTCAGCTCCCTCAAATGGCAGGGCCAGGGCATCCCAGTCGGGGGTCATGGGGCCCGGAAGGCATTTTCAGCAGCCCCAGCGGCTGCATTGGCAGCTGCGGTTCGCACCGCAGGATTCGAGAAGACACCAGCAGCAAATTCCTGCTGGGCCTTCTGAAAGCTGGCACCTGTGCGGCGGTACAAGGAGTGGATCTGCAAATAAGAGGGCAGAAACATTAGGGCACGTCCCCACCACTGTCACTGCACGCCAGCCTCACAATGCCACCGCCACTCCCCAGCCTGCCGCTCTGCCTTTTCCTTCTTAGCTCCCCCTACACACACCCCGCAACCCCCCTCCCCCCGACACCCCAGCTTATAGGTCCATTAGCTCAGAAGCCGCCCATCAGCCTGGCCCTCCCCAGTTCCTCCTGAATGTTCCACCCAGGCCCCTAGGGACACACGCTCACTCTCCTGGCCCCACCTTAACACGGCCCCTCACCCGCTTCAGCATCACGATTCCCAGCACTGCGATGCCGGTGAAAAGCAGGGCAACCAGGAGCATGAGCACAGCTACAGCCGGGCTGTCCTTCACCACTGTCAGGGCCAGGATCCAGCCACTGTGGGGGTGGGGTGGGGCGGGCAAGCGCATGGCAGTGAAGAGGGGCTCTGTCCCCCCAGCCTCCTCCCTGCTGGTGTGCCAAACATGCCCTATTCCCGCCCGCCCCATCAGGTGGTAGCGTTCACCTCCTATCTGTCTGGCAGCTTTCCACACACCACGATCCCAAACTACATCCATAATGTTCATCGTTTAATCCCAGCTTCTGAAACATTAGCTCCTAGCTCTGCAAGCTCTTCCCGACGTCCTCTCTCCCAACAGACCTTCCTTCTGTTAAGATTCTCCCTCACCCCTGGCAACTGTGGTTATACAGACCTCCTCTAGGAAGCCTTTCCAGATTGACCGCCTTCCTTCCCCTCACCTACGGCTGTCTAGAGTTCTGTCTAGGCGCTCTCTATCCTGCAAGTATGTCTTGTCTCCCTCAGTCAACTAGCGCTTCCCAGGGATAAAAACCACGCTTCCTTTTGCTGAACGACTGCTACCCCGGTACCCTGACTGGGTCTAGAGTGGCAGGGGTGAGGGTGGACGGCAGCCTCACGGACCTGAAGCCCCACCCTGGGATGCCAATGGCCTGGAGGACAAACAGCACATCCTGGGCGAAGAAAATGAAGAAGAAAACGAAGAAATTGAATGAACTGTCGCTCCTGCGAGGAGAAAAGTGGGGGGAGTGGGAGAGTAATTAGGGCTGGAGGAGCAGAGCATAGGGGTCAATCCGAGTCCCCCCACTCCCCCCACCCCCCTAACTTACCGGAAAGCCTTATACATGGGGCGGTACCAGCAGACGAAGGAGCAGGGAGAAAAAAGGAGGATCCAGAGGATAGAGAGCCCGAAGCCTGAGCCGTTGCTGGCCTGTACACAGAAGCTGGCCAGGCAGGCGAAGAAATTCAGGAAAAGAGCCAGAGTGCTGCCTGAGGGACGGAGGGAAAGGATGATGGGTCCTTGTGGACTGCAGTAAGAGCTCCTTCCTGTATCAGGCCACCCCACAGCCCTCACCTAGCGTGGCAGAGTAAGGAAAGGCAGGCAGCGTCTGCCTTCACAGAATCCTCAACTCACCAGGGGAAACAGAATGAGCCCATCATCACCTGTAACCCTCCCCTTTGTAAAGACGCTTAAAGGATTCCGAATCCATTTACGCATGCGGACAAGCGCCAAGGGGAGAGGGCCAGAACATCCATTTTGCTAGAAGGCTGGAGAGTATTACACATCCTATAAAAGGAGCAGCCCAGAAAGATCCTGGAGACATTAGCCTTAAACTCAAACGCTGAAGAGAGGTGAGGTGTCTAGTTCTAGGTGAGCTGGCTCTGCGGCAGGCAAGATGTACAAGTTACTCCTTGTACTCTTCCTCCAAAAAGGGTTCTCGGGACTCACACATCCAGAGGTAGTACATGGTGGATACTGTCTTCTGAAATTCTTGGGGGATCTCCATGGAGATGTCCTGGAAAAAGCAGGGCTGAACTGGGCAGAAAGAAGGCAGAGGGGGCCAGTTGTTCTGTCGAGCTGTAAGGCAAAAAAGCAGGGGGACCTCAGGAGTCAGCAGAGACCAAAGAAGGCGCCTCCCCCTTTCTTCCTCCCCCAGCTCCTCTCTTCTAGCTCCAGTTTGGGGTCCAGGAAGATAAGGCAGAGTGGCAATAATAATCCTGAGTGTTATTATTTACACCTTTTAAACACTGGGCCAAGCACTCTGTACAGACGGCCCTGTTGAGCCCCCGCGACAGTCCGTCACACAGGTACAAACATAACGCTCATTTTACAAGACTGAAAACTGAGGCCTCCACTTGCCTCAGAGCTCACGGTTAGGGATAGCCCAGATTCAAACTCAGCAACCTGGCTCCAGCGCCCACGCTCTTAGGATTTTTTTTTTTCCTTCAAACTGTCAGAGGCGCTCCCCAGCCTCCCGAGGACCCGCTTACTAGCTGTGCCCCCCAGGGCAGCGTGCTGCAGCTCTCGCTCTCTCCGGTCCAACTCCTCGGCCTTCCGGTTGAGTTCCTCCTGCTTCTTTAGCAGCTCAGCTGTGGCTGCTGCAGCTGACGCCTGCCCAGGAGGAGCAGAGGGAGATGTGAGTCTGGGGCCAAGGGCCAGCCCAGATCCCCAAGCACCCCCCACACAGCCCCTTTACCTGGGTGCTGTAGGAGCCATAATTCTTGGGCTCCGTGGGGCTGAGCTTTCTCGAGGACTGCAAGGTGGGAGCCGAGGGTGCAGGTAACGGGGCAGGAGCAGGAGCAGGAGCAGGAGCAGTAGACTCATAGGAGGGTGGTGGCTGTCAGGTTTGGAAAAGACCTTAGAATCCATGTGGTCCCCCGTAACCCAGGAGTCTCGTCTGCCTGAAGACCGTTGGACCCAGAGCTCAGTACCTACGGCAGCAGCCCCTCCCCTAGTTGTCAGAAGCTAGTTCTTGTGTTTATGTCAAAGAACTCCTTTAGACCTATAGCAGCTCTCATCACCCCTCACATTGAATTCCTTGGCCAGGGCTCAAAGCACTCATCTACCCAAATTCCTTAAGTATTTAAAACTCTTACTATTTCCTATCCCACGGGGACAAATAAGGTCTAGTCCCCCTCATTCCTTGCCTAATTGTAAATCTAAGCTGAGTCTGTTTGCTCCTCAACTCCGACCAGCTCCATCCTTTAATTTCTTCAAAGAAGCCTCCCCAGACTGAGCCTTGGTTCAGGCCCTGCCAGACGCCAGGTCCTCCCAGGGCCGACATTCAGAACTCCAACTGGATGGGTCGCTGGCCCTGGTGTCCTCGGAAGGATTAGGCATTCCGTGGCAGACCAGCCTCTCAGGAAACTATGACCATGGTGCTTCTTCCTTCGCATGCAGAAAGGTCCCCTGCACCCCGACAGAGGGGCTTATGGGCACCCCCTCCCCTTCCTTGCCCTCTTGTGCTCTCCAGAACCTCACCTGCTGGACCTCAAAAGGGTTGTAGACGTCAAGCGTGGCATACTGCGGGCTGGGCCGGTGCTGGATCACGGCTGGGTCCTGCGGGCAGAGAGCTGGAGCTCAGCTGGCACCTGGTGCCTCTGGGGGAACTCACAGGGGCTCTTTCTAAATTGTCTGTGGCTCCAAGCACTGCACCTTGGGGGCCACGCTGTTGTCCCAACATTTGCTCCAAATCCTTCACCCTACACAGGCCCAAGACTAGCTATTTACAGGGGCAGGGTCCACCCCCCAGGGTGCTCACTGGTCTGGAGTCACCGTCACCCCCACGTGGCGGCCCTTCCACGGGTCAGGTGTCACAAGAGGGAACACGACTTAGCCCCATCCTCCGGAACCGAGAAGAGTCAACCCAGCCACCCAAAGGAGGCCGGCGCAAGTCACCTGAAAAGGGTTGTCAAGCTCGCCTGGCTCGGCGAACGGGTTTCCACCGTCTCTGCTTTGAGCCATATTTGCAACTGCGGCCTAGGCCGCCCCCTGGCCTCCACGCCCCTGCCGCGGCAGTGGCGGCGGCGGCGGCTCTCAGAGGTCCGTCCGCTCCTCTCGGTCCGCCCCGCTTCTCTACGCACCGATTGGCTACACCGACCGGAAGGGTCACAAGGATCCCCGCAGCAGCGGCGGGTTGCGCCTGCGTCTGGGTTACAAGCAAAGCCGGAAGTGCGCCCACGTGACATCTCCAACCCAGTCTTCCTAACCAAGTAGCGTCCCTTTCCCCACGTGACTCCAGCCCCTCTAGC